GGACACAATTTTGTGCAGGCACACATACTCACCCCAGGTAATAATTTCCCCTCATCTCTGTCGCTGAATACGCTAATACGTCAATGCACATAGATTCGTCTCGACGTTTACTAAACGGTGCTTCCGGCACGTGGGTCACTTCTCAGCCTGCTCAAGTTCTGGATCGGAATGTGAATCCCATATCAGTCTATGGTCAGGTAGTGGCTGATGACGTCTTTGGGGACGTTTACATGATCCCGCTGCGCTGTATCATGGAAGATGTCAAGATATTGATGGACGCTGCAGTTGTCAGGCTGCCATCGTCCATAAAGGAACTCCGGCAGATACTTGTGGCCCAAATGGACCGAGAATATACGATCCTGGATCGTGGGAAGAGTAGTAAAGCTCCGCATAGTCTAAGTACTAATGCCGCTGCGGAACGGACAAACCATGGCGCTCCTACAGGTAGCATTCAAGGCCACTCGCTAGTACTTGAGTCTCCAAGTCCACTGCTTTCTGGTAAGCCTAAGCGTTCAGTTTTGGTCCGCAATCCTGAGGGTCATGTCTATGTCCACAAGCCCGAGGGTCATATCTGCACGACATGCGGACGATCATATACGCGAAAAGAGCATCTAAAACGACATGAACGGAATCACGCACAAGGAGATCCTCTGAGGTGTTCTCAATGCACGAGAACTTTCCATCGAAGAAACCTCCTCGAACGGCATGAGGCGCGGCACCACGAATCGTCCTCTGCCGAGACTAATAATGAAGACATATATGATCTAAAGAAGAATGGCCAACCGAGACAGGACAACGATGATTCTATCCTTGACCGCCTGGGTAGCTACTTCGCATCTGAGTCGGCTTCGTGCGATTCTTGCGCTGCATCAAAAGTCAAGTGCAGCAAAGAGTATCCGATCTGTGCACGATGCTCCGTCATCAACTCGACATGCATATATGATGTTCCTAGCAAACGCGGAAAACCAGGCCGGACGAGGAAGAGAAACGCAGACGAACGTCCGCGGACGCCGGACGTTCTGACGAATGGTGCGCCTTGGCCGCGACGCTGGCGAGCACCAGTAGCGCTTAATGAAGCTCCTGAGGCAAAGAAGCGCCGGACGGAAGCTTCTTGGACCCCAGAAGAAAATCTGTGTCTGAAGCGAATGAGAAGTGAAGGGGCGTCATGGGATAGGATCATGGATATCTTTCCAGATAGACCTGAGAGCAGTGTCAAGAAGCATTGGTACAAAGATCTGCATCATGAAGGTATGGCAGAGGATGCCTCCGCATCAACTAGTGTGCCCGAACAAGAAGAATGACTGCCTTCAATGCATGCGCCACAGGTATTCCAGTTCCATATCGCCTTACTATTTCTGCTATGGTTGATAACTGACCGGATTCGATAACAATGATAAATGTAAAGTAGTCGATGTCGAAGGTGAGTTCGACGCACTTACAACGATCAAGGACAAGGAGATGCTTCGAAGCCGCTAGTTTGTTTTTGGAGCTCAGCCCTTCTACGCGCATGCGAGGCTGAGTGACACAGATGCATGATTGGTCGCCACATATGCAAGCTGATGTGACTCCATCCCTTCTGATTGGAGTTTTAGATGTCAAGGCATTCTCTTAGGCAGGCTTGCGTAATGAGGCATCAACACCCCGCAGAGTGCCTTGCCTCTTACCGACCATATGAACCTTCGGTCTTCCCTCATTTCCAAAACGTCGCAACTTCTCTTTGTGCTCCGGATATTCATCAGTTTGATTCTCCTGCAAGTACTGTGCACTATCGTCCTACCAGGGCAAAGTTTTTGGCTCGTCCTACTGCTGTTAGTAATCCTCGCAAGCCTCTCGAGACGATTAAAGGTTTAACGCGATTCCAGAAGGCCATCGGTAAGACGACTGTACGTTATGTTAGAGGTGTCGTACATATACTGACGCCTCCACTTCTGTCCAAGTTGCACGATTCCAAGAAAGAATTTCAGCCGTTCATCATACAACCGTTAGTCTCAGGCACAGACGAGAGCTCAGCGAAACTTTGCATAGCCGTCTTCTGCCCAGAAGGTGTGCGAGATTTGGTCGAATCCATCTGTGAGAACGAAGCAACTAGGCATCTCCTTCAATTTGACGCCGCCCCTCCGGCACTCTTTGACCTATACGTGATTCCATCGTCAAGAGTAGCGAACGGATTTCCGCCGACCGTTGTACCCGAGCAGCTTCGGCCAGCAGCAACCCAGGACCTCCCAGGTGTTGCAACGTTGGTGGCCACGAAGATGGACGGAGTCATTGGGTTTTACAGCCCTGCCGTTGGTCAGCTTGCGAGTTTATTCCAGGAGTCCAAAGTCTTGGAGCCGTTGCACAACGCAGCCATCAATAACTTGGGGGCTATGGTTTTTGAAAGACTCTACCGGGAACTTCTAATAGTCTTCGTCGATGAATTGACTCATAAGGCGCAGCATCCAGATGGAAGACGCGCTGGCGAAGTGCTGAGAGTTCGTTCCAATCGCGCTCTTATAGCACAAAGTGTGACGAATCAATCGATTGGTAGTAGTACTGGCTCCTCTCATTACCTCGAGCTCTTTGACAATCAGCCGTCACCTGAAGAGCTGGTCGATGAATGGCCTCAGGAAAGTCCGCCGACCATGTCACAATCTGAAGAAAACCGACCCGATGATTCAACAATTGGGGTAGTTTCGGAATATCCTCCGAGCAAAGTGATCTCTGAATATGCAAAACGCTATGGCGATGTGTGCACAGCTTCGAATGGCGATTGGACCAGGGATTGGATCCATAACAATAACAAATACGACGCTCGCAAGGACGACACTGGAGAACAAGATCTTGTAAACTTTGTGGATATCGATTCTCCCTTTCCTGACATCGCAAGCGTTCGATCTTGTTTGTACCAGGCCAGCGCCTTCCAGAATCTTGCCTTAGAGCTGAGGCTATCAGCCTTGCCAATAGCATTGAGGCAAATACTGACATCCACTCCGAAATCCCTGATTCAACTGCGTTCTGGAAGCGATAATTCAGTATTAAACAAAGTCAAAGCCTATATCGAGGATCGATCTAAACTCGGTTGGGACTGGTGGCCTCTTCAGCCGCGGGTCCATGACATTCCAGATGCACGATATCGACTCGGGTGGGAAGTAAGTACTAGTATCGATACTTCCTTATTATCGATGCTCAATGTTCTAGTTTGGTGGTGATCAGCTATGGCAAGCGGTATCAACGGATGAAGCTGAGAAAATTCGCGAGATTTTGATGCTGAGCGACGAGCATCCTGTGAATTGCGTATGCTGTGGCTCTGAGATGATATTCTGTCAAGATTTGAGGCACAACAAAATGCTTGGATATATAGCCACGTCACTGAGTCTAACTATTGTGGTGGTATCTCTCATACCCTCGGTTCCAGGCTGGAGGGGATCAAGCCATCCAGCAAAGACTCAACCATCAGAAATCGTTGTAACCCGAATAAGCCAGCCAGACCAATACACAATGATGAATAGGATTTACCGAGATATGACCACGTCCATGAGCTGGTGGAAATCAAGCTATCTGGCAAAAGCTGAGTCTCCATCGGAAATGGAGACATCGAGTCACGGGGAAGAAGCTCGATCACGACCGATAGGAGTGTCAAGTGCCTATCAGCACACCGATATTACCTATACCGACTTTATTCTCGGCACCTTTTCTCTAGGGGAGGACGGGACGTTATCGTCAGAATACCCATTCTTTGACTTGGAAGTCTACGAGTCAAATCAGTCCACAACGCTGAACAAGATGTATCAATGCCTGGCTGTCTGCCTAGGTCCAGTAGTTTGTGTCATGATTCTCGCGGTCATGTTTCTGGGACGGAGGAAACTAGTCACCTTTGCGGTCGACCCATCCGTGTATATCTGGAGGACTTTGTTCTGGAGGAAACCAAATCATCCAGCGCAAGCTCAATCGTCATTGTCGAAGTCCTCACAACTTTATACGCCCTCTAACATGCTAGGCTCACCCAGCTCGTCAGGTGTGCGAGGCTTCAATGTTCCCGCGAAATCATCCTCACCTGCAAACAGCTCTCTCCGCCCCTCGCCCGTTGGCAGCACATCCGGTAGCCCCAACTTATCTTTACAGAATTTGTGGATGATGTTCGGTGTAGAAAGCCATGATGAAGGTATCAAGATTGAAGAGATCCGATTGTTGTATGGAACCAATGATCGATTGTTCTTCCAAGAGCTCAAAACAAGATATGTTAAGAACCGTTGGTTGCTGCAGCGTTGGTTGTCGCCTTTGCGTTTCCGCAATTGCAGAATATCCCAGGCAAGTATAAAGCCCGTTTCGTGACGCTAGTCTGATTTAATTAGTTTGAGATGCTTGGTCCAGAACACGCAGTCTGCGGTGTCGAGGCGCTGCCAGAAAATCCTCCCCACAAAGATCGTTACGTATACGATCCGAGGCCTCCGGCGGCCCAGATACCTCTGATCAGTCGGCAAGCCTTCTCAGCATGTCTAAAGGCATGTGATGAGAGATGTCTATGGTGCCTACTGCCCTCGTTCCTTCACAAAACCCGCCCTTTAGGCACGTATATGGAGTACTGGAAGCGACTTCCAAAGAGAAAGAGTGCGCTCAACCTGCATCAGAACAATCCTGATAGAGTTGCTTTTGGGATTGTAGCGGATCATGATATCTCCTTCGCAGGTCTCTTCATATACCACGTTCTTACCGTTAGCCCGACACTCTGGTTCTGGGCTTATAGGTTGAAATCCCATCCAGGCGATTATCAAAACGCTTCTGTTCCGTTTTTCGCGTTGATGGCATTGATCACACCAATTTGGGCGATATTCATTTGGCGTTTTGATAGGACTTGAGTTGCGCTAGGCCTAAGATGGGTTGGGAGTCTCGGGAGGCTGGCAGGTGGCGGGTGCCCATAGCATAGTGATGCAACCAAACCATTCCCGTCACGTTACACAGTCGCTGGTGATCTTACGATCCTCTTTTGCTAGCTGTCACGGGATCCATTGACAGATTCTGGCATGGGTCTCAAAAGGCGCAAAACGTCTGGGTCGGCATCGACACCTGAGCCGAAGAGACGCGTCACGCGTTCATCCACCAGGACAAGCACAGCACCTGCACACGACTCACCGAAAGCGGGAACAAAGACTTCAAAGAAATCCTCCACATCAGAGCGCAAAGAGCCTTCTCCGGCAAATGCGACACCTAAAGTAGATGAGGCACCGGCTGAAGATAGCAGCCCAGCACCTCAAGTAATAACGACCCGAACCATCACACACGACCTAGTTAAGAAACCAATCCAATATCATCAATACACGCCATCTTCCTCAAACCTCTCACCAACCTTGATATTTACCCACGGTGCAGGCGGCACGCTGTCCGCCGACGCAGTAGTAAACTTCTGCACCGGCTTCTCCAAGTACTTCCCCGTCCTCGCATTCCAAGGCTCCATGAATTTAAAGGCGCGAACCAAAGGCTTTCACGCGTGCATCGAGGAAATCTATTTCAGCCAGGAGACTGCGCAAAAGAGCAAACCGAAAGGGCAGATCAAGAAAAAGAGGATGTTGCTAGGTGGACGAAGCATGGGCGCCCGAGCCGCCGTCATCGCCGCCAGCGAACTCTTAGCCGAGAAAGATCACGAACGAGAGGAGACGAGTATACAGCTTATCCTCGTATCGTACCCACTGCAAGGCCCTAAGGATGATTTGCGGGATCAGATCTTGCTCGACTTACCAGAGAGTATCAGCGTACTTTTTATCATCGGCGACAAAGACGCAATGTGTCCGCTCGATCTATTGAACGAGAATAGAAGCAAGATGGTAGCGAAATCGCAGGTCGTTATTGTAAGAGATGCAGACCATGGTATGAACATTAAACCTGCTAGCGCTACGAAGCAAGTTGGTGAATCGACGGGACGGGTGGCTGCGTGGTGGGTTGAGGGAGATTTGAAGGGGGATGTACAATATATAGGAAAGCAAGAGGAGTAAGTAAGTGTTGCATGAAGTTCTCTAAAGATGACTCTTCGAGCGTATTAGTGGTCTTGAACATCTTTATGTTTGTCATCTGCTTTTCGCTTCATTCCATGGATGAGATATTGCTAACGCACGCCTCAATCTGATTGAGGGTACCTATCCTCTACCACTCGAGAGATCTCGTGCTCGTTCCCATCATCCTCTTCGTCTACGTCATCCTCGTCAGATGCGACGAGACCTCTTCTCACTAGCTCCTCCAGCCCTTCTGACGTCTCAGCCGATTCCATCCACCCAACGATTCCATCATCATCCAATCCATCACTATCGTCTTCTTCATCAGATGCGTGTACTGGGAGCCAAAGTCGAGTCCCAAGATGGTATCGAATGTCTTGTGAGTGCCAACCTAGGTCGAGCGAAAGGGAAGTTCGCCAAATCCTTCGCCTGCTTAGAGGCCATACCAGCCTTCTTGTCGGCGCGTTCATTGCGGGAAATTCCCGAGTGTGCTGGAGACCAGGACATCTGAACCCTTCCGGATTCGATAGGGAGGAACCGGAGTAGTTCGAGAATGTCTCGAACGATCGTGGCCTCGTCGGGGAGAGGAACGGGGTCAGAGTTGTTTGGTGCAAGAAAAATGGGTTACCAGATCTTGCTGTGTTTAGGAATCGCAAGTATTGCTCTCTTGGAATGCTCTTTGAGCATATGACGGGTAGCATCCCGTTTTTGGCGACGTGACTAGCGAAGAGGATGCGCGAAGTCATGGTGGCTGGTGACGACGCGAGAGATGTTGTAATTCTAGCAAAGGGTGATTCTTCGAACGACCTGTAAAGGTAAAGATACCAAGTCAGTGTATGCCTCACATTCATTTCGTACAGATACAACATACCTTCATCCGCAAGTTTGAGAATTCCTTCGCAACTTGACCGATAAAACCGAAGCGATACCAAGTGCGAGTACACAAAGATGACGAAATCAGAAGTGTCTCCACCATGGGCGTTGCTCGATAACCTTGAGTCGCAAAGTAAAGTCTTGGTTAACCTAAATTTGCTGCCGAGGTTGTTCTTAAAGCAAAGTCCTATCGTCAGCTAACTGTCGGTTCTGTTGAAGTATGTTTGACGCGTCTGCTCTTGCAATTGACCAGCTAGCGGATGCGCTGAGAATGGCTGGAGTAGTTCCAGTCAGAGCGAAAGATAAGAATGCACTGGCGCAACGAGCGAGGCATCTCGTGGGCGACTCGATGTCCAGATGGGAAAGCGGATCTCCTTTGGTAAACCAAGGAAGCGTGCAAAGCTGGGCTGCGGTCTCAAGCCATGTTGTATGATATCTGACCACGACTGAGCCGGCTGAGCAGCACTGCAATGTTGTAGGGAGACTACCCCTGCAATGTGTTCGTGCTGTTGAACGATTGGAAGATTCTCAATTTCGGCCTCGAGGCGCTTGGCATGTCGTGTAACGGTAGTCGCGACGAAATTGATCCACGTGAAAATGGAGGAATTGAAGAACCTGGTCTTGAAGATACACCCGGGTTTGATCGCTAGGAGGCACCATTGGTGAGGCGATGGCGAAAAAGTGGTGTTGACGCATGGCGATTTCTGCCCAGTGCTCTGAATGTCAAAGCGAAGAGATTCGACCCTGAGGAACGACTCCTGGATAGGTTGTTGTATTTTCTCGTCTCTCCTGAAGAAGTAGTCTCCTCCTAAGACATCTGCTTCGTGACCCTCGGACTACCTCCACCGACCGGGACCCCATTCGTTTGGGTAGTTTGCAAGGAGATCACGAAGAATCTTGCGCAATGTTAGCAATTGCCTAGAGCAATAGAACTGATATAAACGTACGTGCAGCCCAATTGCCTTTATCAGGCTGAGCGCGCCGGTCAAAATGTTTGTTAGAAGCATCAACCATACGTTGCGGGGCGCGCCCTCACAACTGGTATACAAAGCTGTAGAAGCAAGCGAATTTCCGGGGATTTCGTCTGTCAGATTCAGAAGTGAATGAATGTGGCGTCTTTTGATGAAGATTGCCTTTCAACGACGACGCAGCTGTTGCACGTGAAGTGCTCTTCGCAATGGGCAACACTAGCTGAGAATGGGAAGTCGTCTGCGCAGATGCAGCACTCGTATTCGATTGTGTCTTCGGCTAATTGTGGCTGGGAAGATGATACTTTGGCGTGAGCTTTCTGATCTTCGGCAACAGAAACTACGATGTCTCCTGCCAATTTTGATCATTAGGGACCTGGAGGTTATAGGAGGAAAAGATCATAGAACTAGCGCAAGAGGACAAACTCACCGAAGCGATCTCTCTGGCAGAAAAATCTGTGGAGATGATCAAGGAAGAGGGGATTTGGTCCATGTTGACTGATGAGTGCGCCTTCGCGCATAGCTTCGCGCTGGCTCTTAAAGAGATGATCGATACCAGATATCTGTTCGAAGACAAAGTATGCCATTTGTCTGTCGTATTACGACAACTCTGGGTTCAACAATTGACAGGACGTCAACTGACACTCTCCGACACTGTCGCAGGTCATTGAACTTGGTGGTAAATTGGAGTATAGAGCGGTGGAAGCAAGCGAGTTTCCGGGGAGTTTGCCTGCTGAAGACTGCCTTTGAGACAGGTGAGGATGGTCGGGTTCAGCGACCGTGATGAGACGATGTACTTTGTGTGAGGTCGGGTGGAGACGTTGAGCGCAGAACCTCCTGATGGCTGTAGTGCTTCCGAGGTTTGTTGGATACGTTAGGCTTGTGTAGCGTAGGGTCAGGCAATGGAATGCGATGTAGGAGGCAAGGAATGATGACTCGTAGTAGTTGTTGGAGTATAAGAGTGATGGATTGATTCTACAGATGATGTGGGCTATATAGGCAGTACGCTAGAGGTCTAGCAGGTACTAATAACAACATTACTTGGCTCTTTCTTCAGTAGCTAGGTGCTGATGGCTTGTAGTAGGCAAGTACTAATGATATGTAGTAGGCAGGTTCTGATAGCTTATTCAAGAAAGAGGGGGCTATTAGCATTCTGTACAAAATCTGAATTCAGAATGTAAGTTTGGTCATGGGCACTGGATCTGTGCCACAGTTGTATTGGGCGAGGTCAAGTGTCCCTCCTGTTAGACTGAACTCAACTCAAAGGCAAAACGTATCCTGGGGTATTCTTCGTGCTTTCTCCCAACGTATAGGAAAGCAGTACCAAGCGAGTATTCTGAGTATACCGTGTGACTTCCTCGACATACGAACGTTAGCCAGTAGCATCCCCCTCCGCTTCCCCATCATCATGCCCAGCACCACCTCCCTTACTCTTGTACGCCTTAAACGCAGTACTAACAATATCCCCCGTACCATCCCTCAACCTCCTCACCTCGACAACCCCACTCTTCTTCCTCAGCACAACGCTATAAACCCCCTCATCCACCACAACCCCCTTCAACCACCCCAAAAACTCCGTCGCAAAATTAATACACACATTCCCATCCCAACAATTCGTACCCCTGCGCACCATGCCAGGAAGCTCATGCGTATTGAACGTCTGCAGCCCCCTTAGTATTCCAGCTTTACTCCTGAACCCCACAGTGATCTTGGGTACACCGAGTAAGAAAGACTGAGCCCAGAACTTGAGTAACTTGCGTTCGAATTTGAGAATGTCGCGGTGTTGTTGCTGGCGGGGTGGAGGAAGTTCTTCGCTGGTTTTCAGTTCGACCCATTGGATAGGTTGCTCTGAATCTGATGGTTTCGGTGCGAGGAGGCCGTCTACTTCGCCGCCTAGTATCAGACTATGAGGCCCGAATGATGTGTGTACTATAGAGCAGTGTTGGGCGGCGTTTGATACGACGCCTTTTTGGTGCTGTGCGATTTCCTCGCGAGGCGTGGAAGAGGGTAGAGTGGGTATGAGGGTGAGTTTCTCAAACTTGTAGCCCCAGTATGTCATCATTTCGCGGGATTGCTGGTCTGGGTGTTGGTTGTAGCGAGGCGGAGGACGGGAGCTCTCTGCGGCCCGATCGGCGGCGCGCGAGGGAAAGTCTTCTTCGATGTAGATGGTGCCGTCGTGGAGGGTTGCGAACATGCTGAATTCGGCAAAGTTGTCAAAGGGTGCTGTCATGATCTGGGACGTTGTTAGTAACTCTTCCAGATTCAAGCAGCAGCAAGGTAAGAAAGCTGGATTCGCTTACCTTGCCATGTTGTAGGCCAGTCTACTTCAACATACCTTTGTCATCATGCCTCGCCAGGTCATGAAGTCGGCTTTCACCTCTTCCTTGCCCGTCTTGTCTTCCATAAGCGCCCGAAGCAGACTGTCTAGATGAGGATCTTCCTTGTCCTCATAGTGTTTGAAAGTATCGAAGCCCTCCTTCAGATCTGCGCCCATGGGTGGCGGTATGTAGTAGTTGATGCCCGACTCATCTGGCTGGTATTCGTGGTTGTCGTCGTAGGAGAAGTGGGCGACTTCGCGCGGACGCTTTATCTTGGCTGACGCGCCGTGGAAGCGATTGAGTGGCTGTATGGAAAAGCGATGGATCAGAGTGTCAGCTGCTGGAGCCTCGATCTTGGGGGCCGGCATGTCTGTATTCGTCGCTGTATCCGTCGCGGTAGTTGAAGCTGGAGCTGCTGCTTGAGGAGGCGCGCGGGTTCTGGGTCGTTTGCGAGGCGGTGATCTATCTCCTACATCTCTGGGTGGACTTGGCGAAGGCGAAGGAGGGTCTCGTGAAGCCATGGCTGGTTCTGATTCGGCCGACGCGTTTGTGCGCTGGCAATGTCGCACAAGACGCTCTAAGCTTCGCCGCGGGGGTGTCGCCATGCCAGAACCCCAGCTGTCGCCGCCCCACCGAACGGTACCTGACTAGCTACGGCGCGCCATCCGTGCCATCATTTCACAAACACTACCGACATCAACATCAAATCAACATCGAGTCAACCTCAACCTCGACCTCACTCCACGTCCCGTCCTCCAACACCCCAAACATAATATCCCCTCTACTCCCCAACAACACCCTCTACTTAATACAAAATGGACAACCGCGCAATACGTCTCCCACCAACAACCCGGCGCAACATCTTCGCCTCGCACACCGCCCAAAACCCAGACCAGCGACAACAACCACAACACGCACCCGTACGTCGCCAAAACGGCGCCGCACCCTCGATCCGCCCCGACAGCCGCGAAATAGAAGCCGACATCTTCAGTTCCTCCGCCGACGAAGATTTCGTCGAGCGCGACGCCCTAGGCGAATACATAGTCAAGGCGCCCGCGCCCGTGTACCGCGACATGGGCGTCGGCAGCGAAGAGGACGACGAGACTGGTATGTCGGTTCCTGTCGCCGTCTTACTTACTGGCATCTTGTACTTTTGTCTCTTCTTCTGAGTCTCTGGGTGGCATGGTGACACATGTGGTACACGCGATGAGGCGAAAAACAAGCGCTGACTTGTGCATTGCGGATAGAGCAGGAGAATCAAGTCATCAATCTCTACGGCAAGACGAATGCGCAGTGGGATATGGAGGCTGTGGAAGAGGAGATTCGGGCTGCGCTGAAGAGTAGCTTGAAGAAGAAGGTTGGCAGTTTGGAGGATGATAGGTGGATGTTTGAGGGGGAGGGGGAGGGGAGGAAGTAGATTCTGTGGTGTCTTGTTGGACGTGGATGAGCGTAATGGAATGACGCATTTAATCGTATGATACCCCTGTATACATAGTTCGTTTCTGGGAATTGAGGCATGACTTTGTGAATACGGTTGGGTATGAGCTCTAATGATATGATCAGGGTGGGCCGCGCATGTCGTCGTGATACTTTTGTGTTGGATTTAACGTTGAAAAGTGATATGTTGCTGTACCTCAGCTGCATGTTATCTGTCTGCATACATGCCAAGGTCACCTTCGTGTGCAGGTATTCGGTATAGATCTCGAGGTGTAACGCGGAACTATAGTGTACTGTATTCGGCGATATCCGTTTCATGCACTGGCGCATCTGGGTAGGTGACTTCTACTTGACGAACATATGAATGTGGCGACTCGCAGTTGCTCAGCGTGGAGACATTGTCTATTTCAAGGAGGTATCATAACAAGCATCCAGCTATCGAGTTTCGGCGACGTAGTACTAACGACGTACCTTCTTTTGTAGGTACTTGATGTACTTTGCGAGATGTATCGCTATGTAACATGGGATTATGCAGCCACACATGTGTTTCTGAACTGGTAAACCTCAACATGTCACTTCCACTTGATGGACACATGGACTTGGATCACTCATAGTCACTCAACACAGCATGTTTGTCAGCTTCCAGGGACCATCATGAGAAATCTATTCGCGGGCTTACGCTCATCGTCGCTGCCGCTCCTACTGAACCCCCAACCTCAGTCCCAATCCAACCACCACCCCAAACTCCTACCGAAAAAAAAACAGACCCAGGGTATCATATCAAAACACATTTATAAACGCCGTTTATCCCCTCCTCACCGCCGCCAGAGCTCAAGCACTGGTATCCATCACTGAAGAAGAATTAGCAAATGACTCAAACCCACAACCAACAACATATGAACTTACAATCCCCCTCGTCCTCCGGCGTATACGCATCTCCGCCATACGCCCTCCCGGCCCAATGCACCGCAGCAATCAAGACGTCCAGCTCCGCGGCCAGCACGTCGAGCTCCGCCTGCTCCTCCGGGAAGATTGTCTCCCCAAACGCCATGTACACCGCCATGCGGTCGTACTGCGCAATGGCCATTTCCTCGAGGCCGCGGAAGAAGAAGTAGAGGACTCGCCTCTCGTGCGAGTCGGAGGCGAGGGGGTACTCGTCAAACTCCCGGAGGGAGTCGGCGCGGAGACTGTTCATGTTGATGGTGAATTCCATCTTGTTGTTGTTGGTGGTGGTGGTGGTGGTGGTGGTATTGGGAGAGGAATTGTAGTAGTATAGTAGTGTAGCAGCAGCTTGAGAAGACTGTGATTATGGAGATGTGTTGCCGGTGCTGGTTTGGTGGTAGGAGCGCGCTGATTTCGACGGTTTATGTTGTGGTGCCAAGACCACCTTTGGCGACGGTCTGGCTTCGCTATTGATGAACCAGCGTATTGGATCGACAGTGACTGCGTTGTACAAGTTTCTTGCGAGTATCCCGTCCTACTACCAGGAAGTTCTTCCGCCTAATGTTTGTTGTAGGGTGTCTGAGCGACAGATATATCCACGAGGGTGAGGCTCCTACACCACCAGGGATATCCTCAAGACAGCGACGCCTTTCGACGAGCTCATATACGACACAAGGTATCTTCCAGACCTCTCCAGTGATCCGACCTCTTCCTACCATTTCCTTCTTCGTATACGCCCAAGCCGCTCCGCAAGCGCCCTCGACCGTACACGACGGCAACCAATTAGACTTGGGAAAGGTACAACAGCGACAGATGGAGGCACACAATTAGGAGGATACTATACTGAAGAACAATGAAGAGGATATTATACATGCCCGTCAGCCCTCAAGTCGCGGGTGCGTAGCAGTCGAATTGAGCGGTGGAGGGTACGCGGCGTCTATTTTGGCGCTGCTGGCCTTGACAATTCATACTGCATTGCTCCTATTCAACAGCAGCGCCGATAGCTTGAGACAGACGAACGAGAAGCTTCGTAGAGGTGGGTTTATACTTAGGTAGAGTAAGGGAGAGACAGGACAACAGATGTCGGAGCGGAGGATGCGACCTGGAAAGGGGCGGCGCAGTAGATGTGTATAATGGCGAATTCTTAATTCGCATAGCAATCAATCCATTGAGATGTACGGTCTGCTGATGCTGATTGTGATGCTCTTACTGCGCCGTAGTTCAGTTTCTCCGCCAGTTAGACTCAAGGCGCTGACGGTGGACGAAGGATATGGACAAGTAGACGAACACCTAGCAGGAAAGGAGCGTGAAACGGCTGCTGGCTTTTCGAACTGTGCAGTCTCATCTTTGGGGTTATGTTGCTTTGTCGTGCGGTCTACCTGCCTACTTTCAGAGTTGCACAGTCCCAGGCTGAAGGTCGAGATAGTCTCGCTGCGCAAGTTCCTAGACCCTAGAGTTGAAGCCCTGGAGGAGCCATTCGGCAGCCCCAAGACGAGCTGTCTGCGTCGCTCATGTAATGATTGTGAGTTGTTTGGTTCGTTGCATGACGCCAAAGTACAGCCTAGAGGTCTTTGTGCACTCCTAGACCATTCAGGTCATCATGAAGGAAGTCGCGAGGGCCTCTAGACCTCGTTTTCGCGCCGACCTTTGCTGGTGCGCTGTCTGAGAGGTGACCTTGTCGTGAATGCTTCATGCATAGTACCGTTCAAACTACGTTTCTGGGTGCCGGGATTTTCCAGAGTCCTCGCGCCTGCTATTGTGAGTCGCGACTGCGTGGTTCTGGCCCTTTTGGCAGTCACGGTTCGCTTTCAGCGGCAGATTCCACCACCAGGTGCTGTCTCCGCTGCCGGACTTCTCGTGGCTCTGGACGTGATCACAATCCCATCATCTCAGATGTCCACAGGTATTGCCTCAAGCCACGATTCTGTAGTTCCGGTTCCTTTGGTGATCCCTGAGCGCCACGAACAGCAGCGGTCATTATAGAAGACCAGATTTCTGCTGGAGAGCCGCCCTTCGTGCTTGAGATCATTTTTCACACCAGAAATGCAAAAACCCTTATCTGAACTCCCGTGAAGTTGCTTGCGCGCTGGAAGTCGTAATTGCCTACCCAGAAAGCTCAGCGGCATTCCCACAATCTCCGTTTTAGTTGTGAAGCTTCTCGCTGTCCTTGTCATAGTCTTCAGCCTCAGCTCTACAAAGCACTATGCCCATAATTCTGTGAAGCTCTCCCGCGTGCTCGAAGCCCCTCTTGCCTACGTGGCGGGCCCAGCGTCACCGCCGCGGTCTCTTACTTCACACATGGCAGCGGAGTTTCTGAGGTGAGACTATATTTGCTCGGTTTCTCAAGCTTCTGTGTCGCTTTCCTGCGATTGCTTCATCTCCAAGAGGTTGACACTGAGTTTCCAGCTTTGAGGTTGCTCTTGCGGCACCGCTTCAACGTGCCTGCCCAGAATGACTTGGACTCCCCAGAGGCTCCCGCAAGTAGCAGCAACTTCTTCCAATGACGTGATGACATGCTGAAGCTCGCGATTGAGCATCGCGCTCTCACACTGCCTCGCGTTATCTTACGCGGTTGCAGCTCACGATGTGCATGTGCCAGACTCATATGCTCTCCACAGCCATTGCAAGATCCATCATCATGCTTCCAACGCGTGTTTGAGTGACTTCTCCACCCTCCAGTCAATGAAGCCTGGAGAATCTCTTGACATCAAAAGGTTCATATAGCGATCTGATGCAACCACGAGAATCTTACAGCAGCTAACAGCACCCCTATCGAGCTCGATTTCGCTGTGATCATCTTACAGCGCCATCGTCACACGCTCTCACGTTCCTGCTGCGCCTTCCTTCGGCTTCCACCCGCGGAGACTTCTGCCTGACGCTCCTGCCATGCCGGCACCCTCCGCAGAGCGGTCAGACGTCTTGGACGACGCTAGAAAGTGGTGAGTGGGGCCTCACAATAGGTGAGAAATGGTTGAAGTATGGGAACTTCAAACCCAGGAGTTGTTTTGCAACTGAGATGCATCCTCAATTCCATTGGAGCCACAAATACTTGGCTAACTGAAGTTGTAGAGCTCGACAAGCGCTATCTCGTCGTGCCCAGCTTGGTCTTGTGCGGGTGGTGGTTCACTGGGTTTTGTAGGATACCCGTATACACTCGTCTTGGTTCGTCCATCAACGTTCGCTCAGAGCTCGTCCATCGCAACCTCCTTTTCGGTACGCATCTCTATATCGTGAGTGATGAGTCCTTTGCCCTGAAATACTGCCGTCGCCCGCAGTAGTGCCAATCACCTGACCGCTGGAGCTGCGGCGCCGATGGGAGTATATAAAGAACCCACCCCTCGCTCCTTCCACCTCTTTTCTCCCCCATCCACACACCAACACCCTCACCTTGACAGACTCCTTGCTTGAGCTTTGCCAATCTTCCAACTCTTGCACATCCCCTTTACATCTTCACAACTTGTCTCATACCAAGACCTTTCAACAACATCTCATCATGTCTCATCACTCCCCTCAATCATCCTCTGCCAATGGCCCCCCCTCTTCACCCTTCGGCGGCACCAACCCTACTGTGTATTCGCCAGAGGCTGACCGCAAGCCGCATCACCGTCGTCAGCTCACCGCCATCCCGCCTGGTCAACAGGTTCCCAAGAACTTCCTTCCTCAAGCTCAGATTTACATCGAGGGTGCCTTCGTCGACGAATTCCTGCAGGGTGATCCCGCCTATGTCTCTCGGTACCATCACGTCCAAGGCGGAGCCGACATTGATCATCTTCAGTTTCTTGTTCAGTCTCAGATGAGGCGTGTAAGTTGTCTCTGCCTCCATCCATCATGTAACATACTGACCATCTCTAGTATGCTTGCTTCCTGCATGCCATCCCCTTCAAACATGAGCACTCTTCGACAATGTATGTTCGTTACGACACCGTCTCCGATGCTGCCGAAGGCAAAGACATTCTCCTCCAGGCCGGCCTCTTCGTCAACTACGTCTCGATCGTCGACTTCGCCAATGCTCAGGGCAAGGACACGGGCAAAGTCAAGGAGTGCGAAGGCCAAATTACCTTGTCAGTGTCGATTGAACCAAACCCTGATCATGCCATCTGGGAGTTTACCTCCGAGGACCTCGACAGCGTTACCAAGAACACTGAGACCATCGCCAAGGTCTTCGGCCCGGTTCGCAATGTCGTCCACGTCGACACCCTCAATGACAAGATGCATCTCGTGTTCCGGATCGAGTTCGACTCTGTCGATGCTGCACATCGAGCAATCCAGTCTTTGCGTAAAGACCCGGTCTACGGTCTGAACGCTGATGTAAGTGTTCCATCTCTTCTTCTTCCCATGTAATCATTCTAACTTTCTCACAGGAGTCCTTCTACTGGACCACTGACGACGTTGGCGGCTGGCTTGGTGAGCGTCTGCTGAGCCCTCCTCGATACCTCCCGCGCATCGACAACCAGGGCCAGTTCTTCCCAGGAACTAATACATCACCCACCCGCCGCTCTTGGTCCAACCCCTACAACCAGGTCGTGCATCGGTCCAGCCACCATCCGCATGATCAGCACAACCGTGTTCGCCGTGAGCGCATCCTCGATGGCAGCGACGTCCGCACTACGGTGATGCTTCGCAACATTCCGAACACGCTCGACTGGGTATGTCTCTTCTTCCATCATCTTCATGAACCCTTGACTAACCTCTTTCGCAGATGGCCCTCAAGAACATCATCGACATCGCCTGCTTCGGCACGTACGACTTTATCTATTTACGGATTGATTTCAACTCCGGCTGCAACGTGGGCTATGCCTTCATCAACTTTACTGACGCGAACGGCATGTTGATGCTCATCGACCGCATCGAGCGTCGATTCTGGCCAGGATTCAAGTCTGACAAGGCTGCCGAGATCTCGTATGCGACCATCCAAGGCCGCGAGGCTCTTGTTCAGAAGTTCCGGAACTCCTCGGTGATGCAGGAGACCCCGTTCTGCCGCCCTCGTCTCATCATCACCTACGCCGCGGCAGAGCAGATGGACCAGATTCGCCTTACTGGCACTGAGGAGCCCTTTCCTCGTCCTGACAACATCTCGAAGTTGCAGCGCTCGATGGACTCTGCGCGTTCCACTGGTCTTTACCCTCCTCGTGGCTACTCTTCCGGCACCGAATACCGCAACCGCTCGAGCGCTTACGACCGTGGCAGCCCCCGCGACATGATCCAGGCCGCTATGCATTTTGCGCACCAGCACGCTGCTCCTGTCCAGTTTGCCGGCTTGACAGAGGATCAGAAGCGTGACATTGAGGCCTGGTACCTGAACACCTTCGGCGGCGGTCAGCGTGGTGCTATCGGCTTCGACTTCATCCCGATGACCCATATCACCCAGTACTTTCACGACCATCCAGGTTCTGTCGGCAAGGTCGCTGGTGCTCCTTCTCATCTTGGTCGCATCATGAGCCCTTGGCGCCCGGTTGCTCTCCAGCACTTCTCCACGATGGGCCAGCAAGTTCCTCGCCACCACTTTGGCCGCGCCTGGTAAACATTGTTTGCCCACTGTCGCGCATCGTTGCAACGTCTGTCCCGACTAGGCCTTGCACAACGATTACACCATTTCCATCTCTTTGCTCGGTATGGCTTTTGACACACACTATCGAGTGTATGTCTTCTGGGTCGGTTTCGAAGCGATTTGCTCAAGATGTGGATGATTGACAGTTTGAGACGATCTGACTGGATGATGGATGCCACTGATGAACACTGAATGTACCTAATGCTTGCTTTTCTTCAAATACAATGATCATTGATCACCAAACTTGTTCCTTCTCTTGCATCGTGACTTGTTCTGTTGACTTGACGAAAGGGATGATGCTGGTGCTTGGGCTTTTGCGCATCTGCACTCCTTCCCCCAAGGCTACTGCCAGCTAAAGAAGGAAAGCTGACCTTGATGTGCGTATGACGTTCCGACCGCGTACAATGGTGTGTATTGCGTTCTGACCACCCATAGTAATGTGGGTTAGCATCAGAGCATACTAGAAGGTACCACATTCTTCTTGCCGTCGGGAATCTTGACCTTGAGTGCCTTTCGAGCCCTAGTCTTCTCGCCCTTCTTGCTCCTCTTGCTCGGAGTCAGCTTGCTACTGGAGGACTCCTCATCTTGAGGAAAGGGGCTAGACAGTTGGAATGTCTGAAAGGGCTCGTAGCGCTCTTTGGTTGGTGTGATCGAGGTAGAGAGGCGAGAGGTGGTGGCGTCATGGTAGCGGACGTCACGCCGAGCCTCTGGGTGCTTGGAGGACCGATGCGACCAGGAGTAACTGGGGACCTTGGATAAGTTGACGCCGGCGTGGTCAGGTACATTGATCCCATAGTGCCCGTGAGCTGACCTGAAGAAGGCGTCATCAAGTTGGGGAAACCGGAGGCCATGTTTCCGAGTAGTAGGACCAGGAGCTGACCTGGACCCGGCAGTGGCTTCTCCTTGGGATGCTTGAGCAGTCCCTTGCCCATGTCGCGAATGTCATAGTCAACAGAACCTTCCAACTCATCGTCTTTATGCTGCATCATATCGGTAGCAGTGATATCGTCAGCCTCCTCGATTCGGCTGCGGAATGACTCTTCCCAATCGTCGCCGTACTTGTCTTTGCCATTGTCGATCCGACAATGCGTCGTGTATTGCGTTCTGACCACCCAGCAGGTAAAAACAAGTCCCTGTACTAGGGTCTATTGCGCTCTGGTCGCCCAGACCATAATCATGCATGTTGTCGATTCCAACATCGCCGTAGCATTCTGAGGCTGCCCATAGAAGCTGTCTCCGCAACTCAGCGTTTTATCCGCAAAGATGGAGGTAAATGGAGTCAAGTAGCTGATCAACGTCATAGGCAGGACAACCCAGATGACCACGAGACAAAACGCGAAGAGGTCATGGAAGTGGCCGGCAGCTAGATGAGTTGGTAGCGGAAAGGCTTCCTGGAGGCCTTGCTGCGAGGAGGAAGATGAATCCAACGGGTGAATACCGGACGAGGCTTAGCATGGAGGAGGCAAGCGTTCTTGCCGAGTTGACCGGAGTGCTCGTGGAAGTACTGGGTGATATGGGTCATGGGAATGACTCCTGATACAGCAGGAGCCTTGCTGTGCCAGATGGTGCCTCTTCGCCCTACATTACAATAGATCATTTTCTTGTAAAAATGCAGACGAACCTCAGAACCACCATCACGCATGTTGTCGAATTCACGCGGCATTGACAAGAGGTTCTGTAGGTTCTGAGGTTCGCGAAGGCTGATCTTTGCGCGGATACTGCATTGCTCGATGCGCAGCATCGACCGAGTCGAACTCGATGCGGAACACGAGGTGCATCTTGTCGTTGGATGACACCAACATGAAGGTATACGCTCAGTCTCTTGTATTTGAGAGGGCGTCATGATATCGTACACGGAATCGTCAGCTGAGCCAGGAGTGCTCAGACGAACCAGGAGGGTGTATGAGCTCGGCGTGCGTCGTCGTAGGCCGTATCGACGGCATTGTAGGCATTATCCCAAGCCGCACCGGCGTGGCGAAGCATTTGAATGGGCAAGCTGAGCAGTGGCAGCTTGATCAGCCTCGGACGAAGCAAGAAGATCCTCATGTGAGTCGTTACCGACGAAGTCATACTCGGCATGGTCCTTCACATCCTCCTCGTAGTTCTGTGCCTCCATCTCCTTGATGTGCTTGTCGAAGTCGAAGTCCATGCCGGCAGAGTGCGTATCCTGCATGACTGAGGAGCTCCGAAACTGACAAGGTGATTTGGCCTTCGAACTCCTGATTTTGCCAGTGTCCTTACCCTGGACAGTGGCGAAGTCGGCAAGGGGAAGTTTAGCTTCGTGCCGCCGGTATTGGCCCTTATCACCTTAAACACCCTGCGTTTTGATTGTTGTTCTTGATGATGGCTCCCTGGCCAAGAAACTGGTGGAATGATGAGACATTTTGAGATGTTGTGAAAGACTCGCGTGCTGGCACAAGTGCCCTTACGAAATCTTGACCGGTAAAGGACATCTGGGACTGAACCAGAAACTGGAGATGATCGATATCGGCTCCGCCCTGACATAACCGTATTGATATATCCATATTAAATCTTACGGTATCTGTGTTCTGCCTACTGGTTCTGGCTCCAACAGTTCGTAGGTTCCGTGGTTGACGTTGTGCAAAGGTCGCGTGAACAGGGTTGGTGGCGTAGATATTGTCTGAAAGAGTGACTGACATACCACACAACCCTGGGGAGCACCGACAATATGGCAAGACATTCAGAAATGCCTACGAAGCCGTGCGAATCCTCAGCAAGACTTCTTTTGACTGTAATGACTGCGAGTCGGTGCGATGCAGTAAGACTCGAGGCTTGGTGTGCAGTAAACGACCCCTTCCTTCCCTTCTCAGCTACTGGGAAACACCAGCAAACCCAAAGGATAGCCCGAAAGCTATACTGACGTCTTGCAGCGGCCTCTCGACTAATGAAATGCCGCTGTATCGGGTTGGCAGAGCAAAATGTCGCTCAAAAGCCGATTTGAAGTGAGGCGGGAAGAGATGAAGCGTAAGAAGCGAGCTCTGAAGCAGGCTGACTCTTTACACCTCTATGACATGATGACCCATATTTCGTGACACTTCATCGTGTTGTGGAGGAAGGAGCTGCCAGGCCTCCTGACCCTTGTGAAGGCCTATCTCAGGGGCTTCAGGCTTAGAGCACGCAACACCGTGTATGTAGGATGAACATCTACAGCTTTGATACTACGTCCCCTACCAAAGTCTAAGAGATCATCATCCAAGAGACTTTTGGCGTCTAACTGGCTCTGCTATCGCAAATCTTGTGTTCTCGTTGTTGAACTTGTAGCTAACTTGATGTTTTGAAAGCTTCCCTCTCCATCCCCGATCGTTGCAGTTGTATGCTGTGCCCCGATTTGTGGGCAACGACTTGGCCTCCTCAGGAGTGACTGTATAGCTCCTGAGGATGCCATTTTGGCTGCGTGCACCACGCTGATCTCGCTCGTTGGCGGATACTGCGAGGACGCAGAATCTCGGAGTGGTACGCACGGGCCATGGCAGCGTATCATGAAGTCCGTTATGGTGTAGCAGCTGGCTTCCACGACTTTACCAGCGACACCAGCATCACACACGATCCTACTTGTTGCCATATACCATAAGCACATAAACACCTCTACAAGACACCACTCGGCCACCAGAAGCCAACAAGATGACGCCCTGCGAGAAGCGGGTCTGTTGCGAGATCACCGAGGCCTACAAACCTTGGGTCAAGGACGGCGGCGTGAAGTGGCTGTTCCGCGACGCCTACACGCGCGTGGGAGGTCTCTGGGCCATCTGGTCCAAGAAGGACAAGGACGCCATCAAGTATGGTCGCCTGAGAGCTGTTGAGGCAGCTCGGAAGGGCACAAGGTACGTTCCGGCTTCGAAGAGCGTCACCAACGGCACCCCACGAGGCTACAGCTATCCTGTGGCTAGCTGATCTACAGCCAGTAATCCTGCGAAGACATCCGCGCTCTTCTATTGCTGAGGGGCAGCGTTCTATGTTTGCTGCGCAAAACGAGCTAACAGGCTACGCAGGAACACCAACACTACCGACTCCTCCGCCAACGAAGACCGCCGCGAACTTCAACAGAAGTTTCAGCAGATTGGCGTAACCCCAGCAGCATACTTCGCATAGAGGATCAGCTTGGCGGGCGGCGAAGCGGGGAGCAGGAAAGAACCCAGACGAGGCCAACGGGGCAAACGGCGACGCCATGGACATCGACGACGGCGCAGCAGAGCAGGCAGCCCTAGAAACGGAAACATGAAGAAGCGCAGTACTTTCTCCTTTGCTGTGATGACCATACTGACACAGCAGGCAATCGTGTACACAGAACTCATCCGCCAGCCGGGCGTGACCATCGACAGCGAATATTTCGGTCTTCGAAGACCTATTACGGTCCGCACGACGGACGAGCCGTGGCTGTCAACGAGACGATTTCGTACGACGACACGGAGGTGATCGGCTTAGCTCTTTCGATGATGGTTGCGACCAGCGCAGCGGTCTGCGGCGTCATCATTGAGCACACCACCACTTCATCCGCCACGAAGGCCGGTAGCGAGCATCCTGTACGGCGATAAGACTTGAGCGATAACCGAAGAAGACACGGATGGTCGGTTGATGTGGTTGCAAGAAGGAGGGTGGTATCCGGCTTCGTCGGCAGCGTCGTCTGATGTTCAGACTGACGAAGATGGCGCACACTGGCCAGTACCGAGCCCCTGAGTCAAATCAGGTACACTATCGAGCGCCATGCTTAGCTGCAGACGCCTCGCGCCGCAGATCATTACATAGCGGATGCTATGCATGGTAACGAGTTTCTGGGAAGCGTCTGGACCCTTATCCTCCGGAAACAACTCCTAGTCGAACGGCATCTGCGTCGGGCAGGGTCGAGTAGACTTGAAGTTACCATAAGCTGCAGGGATGGTGCCGCCGGGGTCAAGGGGTGCGCGCAAGTCCGCGTATGGACGACTAGACACCCTGTTGAGTGAGCAATGCCCAGTGTGGCGGTTTGACAGCCTCAACCCAGCTCTGAGTTCGGGTTCGTGGACAAGGATCGTATACGCACTTTCTGGAAGTCGCCCACAAAGACATGGCGTGTGCCCGCGCCAGCGCTCCTCGGAACTGACTGAACCTAACTGGTCGAAGCCAACGTGGACGACTAGTGCGTACGTCTGGCCATTCTGCTTGGAACGCGCAAAGGCGGGTACGGCAACGTTCGGATGTCGAAAACTGCAGCCTGGTCTTGCAACGCATGCAGATTTTACTATTTTCGAAGATATCCAGATCGAAGTTGAGACACTCTTGGTGTCGTCAACTGGAAGACTGTGCACTGCTGTTGAGAAGGAGCAATCTTCAGCCACTAGAATGATGACCGCTTGTGAAGACATCCGTCTTGGACTGGACCCAATGCCATCACGAAGTGCGACTAGTAAGAAACTTGCTATGAGGGTACCTTTTCCAGCATGGATGCCGGATTCAAAGCTGCGCATTGAATGTTTCTGCATCGCTCATGACGCTCGCCGAGCTTGGAGCTTCAGTGCCGTACCGAACGCACATCTTATTATCTAGCCGAAGACGAAAACGACAGTGAGAATATCAGAGAAGATGTCTACCGCTGAGGGCGAAAGCGTTGCTTTGCAAGTGGGCCGGAAAGCACCGTAGCCGATTTGAACCAGAGCAGATGTCTTTCGTGTTTGCTAACTCCCAGCGATGATGCCTTGTAACAGTGCAAAAGTTGCCACTAACCATGACATCTCAGAACAATGATGTTACTGATGACCCGACTAACTCCGTGCTCCTTTAGTTCGTCTTCAGTCGCTCGTTGCTGTGAGGTTTGCGTCTATGCTACGGTAGTACCGGCATATTACAGCGCGCCCTGTAGCTCAAGGTCGTCAACTTCCTGGGGATCAACGCAGCTTTTAGACGACAACGATCGTTATTCTCAAGGCGCCATGGCTCTCGAAAGTTTGATGCTCTGTGGTAGTCTTTACCAAATTACTGGGATATCCGTCGAGCTCGATGTCATGGGCCAAAGCCACTCATAATACGAGCATCAAAAGCACCATACGAGTGCTGTGACGACGGAGATGGATCCCTACAACATCCGCATATTTCGTTAATTCGGCGCGCCAACGTAGCAACCCTAGGACCGTTATGCTGCTGGTGCAAAATTGCAAGAGTAATCCGCAGAGGGCTCCTATGGTTCCTGACGAAGCACGAGGAGCCTGCGAGAGCAGCGTCAACCGAAAGCAGCTTTGAATATGTCCTGTAGTGTATCCTGCGGCTTTGGAGGCAAATCCCTAGGAAACGACAGTGGAGTACTCGCACATCGAGCAGGTGTCAGATCTCGATACATCTGTAAAGATGCTGCCACCATCAATAGCGTCAGGCGTTCAGGTGAACCCATGTCTGCTGTTGTACCTCTCCCTAACAAGATGTCACATGCTTTGTGCACGCGATATTGCTGTGCATATCCCCTTGTCTCCCACCATTTGAGACATCGCAAGAGAAGTGTGTCATCGACGTACAGGCGATTTGTCATGGGACGTGCTGCAGACGGTTCATACAGTCGTGGGTCAATACGCATCCGTAAAGGTTCGACCGCTTCGCAATGTTGTACGTACGGGGTATGCATTCGCGGGGTTGAGGACAGGTTTCCGAGATCGAGATATCTGATTGTGCTCGTCGCTTCGAGGCATTGTATGCAGCAAGGATTGTTTGCTTCGACATCGGGTGCTTGCTGGCCCCGGGTTTTGGGCAGTACGACAGCGACGAAGAGGATTCCTGTATGGATCAAGGAGACAAGGCGCTGCTATGTAGAGCCAATGCTTTTCAAACATGTTCATCCAATGTTGCTTACCGTGGTGGTGGCTATTGCTTGTCTTTGGGTCGGCGGAAGTCCGCTTCAGCAGGTCGCCGAAACTACCGACTTTGGACGCGGCGCTGACATGGGCAACGGCAGCGGCCTTCATGCAGCTTCCTCGGTTTGATTCCAGGCGTGTTTGAAGAGACACGTTCGCCAGGTTCGTCATCGCTGCGCATGGCATGGCAGGGTGACGATTGCCTCCCGAAAAGCCCCTTGGTTGCCAGCGAAGCAGCCGCGGACCCCGCCAGGCACAGGGCAGCCGGGTGATTGCAGCCCTCCGTCCAAAGTCTTGTGTATGTAGGTGTGTCGATCTCCGAAGCTCTCGTCGTTATGATTGAGGGGTTACGATGTCAATGCTTCGGGGGTCTGCCTCGATGCGCCGGCGAAGCCTCCTCAGTCAAGGCTGATGAGGATGTCGTAAAACGTACGCGAGTCACCGAAGTAAGCCCAAGCAACAGGGTAGTGCTCTTCATCGGTTCTGTTGTGGTTGGTGTGGGTCAGAGGGGTCAAAAGTTGGGCTTGTCGCGCATGTCAGCGTCCATGCGCTGGCTGGCGAGGATGTCGCAGGTCGAGTCAATCAAAAGAGCCTCTATACCATCGACAGCTTGCTCTGGACTTGCTGAGGAGGCTAGAAAGCTTGCGAGAAAACTTGTCATTGCCTTCGTTGTGGTTGTGGGTTGTTAGCAAAGACAGAGCTTGCGTCGGGAGTCCGCTTCGAGCCGCCAGCAAAGCTACAGTCGATCACGACCATGGCAGAGACCTTGCGGCGGATGAAGCTCCTCCAGAGATCATCAGATCCACGGTGATTCTGCCACTACCTTTGTGATGGTCCGTATGTGGTGGTGTTGAAGCGGCGTGGGCACTTGGTTGGGAGAATTGAATCCCAGAAACGCGCACCATGAGGCACTGCGACTGACGAAGCTTCGTCACCTCGCCATCTTGTTCACATGAGCTCGCTCTACCAGCTGCGTAAATTTGAACGAGCGAGGGGTTGTGTTGAGCGTCATCGTGTTGGTGGTGTGGTTGAGGCAGCGTTATTGAAGGAGGCTCGAAGCTTACCCCACAAAGAATCTCAATATCGGAGCGCAAGACAAGGGGTCTGGACAGCTACCAACCTCCCAGAATCGCGCTTGCAGCCACATGCAGCGGGCTTGACGGTACGGAGAAGATCGTTACGAGACTGCACGACATAGATAATTGAAGACAGATTATATATCGACTATCGAGGTCTTCGAGGGTGATGTGACTATAGTGGGACTCGGCAAAGCCCTTGAATGTCTCTGTATGACCCTATCTACCTTTACCACACAGCTAGACGTTGTTTATCCACTCCACGGCGCGCGACGTGTCAGATACAGATACACTACGGAACACTTCGCATGAAGACCTCAGCTTCCCCTATAATGGAAGACCTAGCTGAAGAGCTGTACTACTCTAGAAAGTGTCATCCGCATCCCTCACCAAGCCGCGTCCCTAGACTCCCCCTCCCGTAGGCTCGTAGCTTCCGACTTCGTTGTACAGGAGGACTCAGACGTTTTGATATTACCTCAGACAACTCAAAATTGCTGCCCATAGCGAGACTCTCACCACTCGGGAGGAAAGGTGGGTAGTACCGTTGTCCTCGTGGCTAGAACATCTACCGCTCTCTAGGGTTTGACGAATGCTCAAAGATGGCCGAAGAAGCATAAATAGCAACAGGAAGATCTCCAGACGTCCATCATCTATTCTATACCTCAAGCTCAGCGTTTGATCAACTACAGCGCACGTGTGGGTTACCTAGATTAAGCCAGGACTTGTCCCGTTGGTCGTCTTGTCACTTGACACCGCGCTCAGGAACATCGCGCCGAATTTCCAAGACCTCTCTCTTTGATACTCAGCAAAGACCCTTCGCTCCCTTTCATGTGCAAAACAACCTCACTACTATTCGTCTTCACCGTCACTTTTTCGTCTTACGGTCATCAGAAAAACTAGTTGTCCCAAGTTCGCGCGTAAAAATTTTCTCCAAGGTTCCCTTCCGCGAAAGCATGCGCATAGCCTCTACTGCGACAATCAAACACCACAGTCCTAACGTCACATTATATCTTAATCCCAGTTTAGCCACTTTCGCGCATAGTTGCTTGTATTGAACTTGTAATATTACCCTTCGTGGATACGACATTCAGTTCAACGCACGCACATACCCCATATCCGCGGCTCTATACAGAACACGGCAGCGTATATCCGCCCCAAACCAACAACACACCAATTCCAAGACAGCAGCGCCTGTGTTTCTTCACGCTCTCAGAAACCCGCCTTACCCAGCAAATCCGCAATCCATAAAATATCTCCCTGCCTACCCCAAAAATGGCAACAGCAACATCCACCCTCCCACACCACCCACCCAACCCGTCAATCATGGCCTCATCTAACACTACTCCCACCCCGGCCATCACAGCAACAGCCTTGATGAAAGCATCTCCCCATGATATAGCCCAGCTGCACGACATCCACACCCTGCTCAACAACATCTTCGCGCGCAACCGAAACCAGCACCAACGCAGCACATGGTGGAAAAGTCTCCACGGATTCCGCAAGCAAATCACCCTCCTGCTTCAAGATCTTCTGCACGGCCCCGCAAAAGAGCGCGAAGGCAAAGTCGAAGCGCGATTGAGGTTTTGGGATCGCGGAGCCGTGCATACGTGGTACTAGTATGTTTGCCATTCTTATCCTTCCAAACCTCTCCCAATTCCGCTTGGAAGATGCATCGAGTTTAATGGGTGCTAATTATTCCGTAGTCAGTTCAGTCAACTAGTTGCTGTGGGACCGTTCGCCATGCTTGGCCTCGTTATGATGGCGAGTGTAGCTCGCGTATGCAGAATTACCGGTATAACGGCTGTTTACGAGGAAATCGCTTCAAGCGATGTCAAAGGTGTTTTGAGCGCGAGTGACGAACTAGCCTTGGCGGATGAGTTTAGTGGGGCATTGGACGAGGGGGAGGGGTGGGATGAAGGCGTTGTTATCGCGAGAGAGGAGGAGGATGACGACGAGTAAATGGTTCGAGTCTCGCGTTTGAGTTCATGCATGTATATATATACTATCAGCGACGGATATGGGATGATACCTGATGGTCGGGCCTGGCTGTCTTCACGGCGTTTGGAGAGTTTGTAACAAGTCATAGAATGTATTCGATGCTTCCTGTCTCGCGTATTCTGGCGTTTTTCTTGCTGGTAAACCCTATGCGGATATATGCAACTCCCACTCTACCGAATACCGAACCTAGAACCTATAGTACCGAAGCGCTCCCTACCAGTGGTTACCGTTGGGCTCTGTGCTGCGATCTGTGCCCCCTCTTGTACCTTCTCCAGTAGAACGGCGCCCTTGATTTGGTCAACCTTGCTATACTTCTTGTTCCTTTGCGCGATGTCGTAGAACTCCAATTCGTTATCCGTGCCCATCAGCGCTACAGTCTGTGTCAACTCGTCCAAATTCTCCATCAAGATAGGGTTGTTGAGCGAGCTGACGAATTCGCTCAAAAAGGTGGTGTCGGCGGCTAGGGTAGCGACAGCAGCAGGGGAGATGCGCTTGATGTTATCGGCGAGGGGGAGGTCGAGGATGGCGGTGGAAGCATGTGACAAGGCATCAAAGTAGATAAACTCCTTAATCTCTGTCGGCAGGGCTAAAAGCACCGAAGACATTATGTTGGAGAGATACCTAGTCAGCTCCAACATGTATGTCGAAGGTTCAGTCTGCGGTTTGGTAGCCATCCAATCGTACTCTGCCGTTTCGATCAGGTCGTCGATCTTGCTGTTTACGAGCTCGAACACACGGTTTGAGGCAGTATTCTTGGCTTTCGCGAAACGTTCCGTCGCCGCAAGGACGATAGGGCCTGTCGCTGATGGCGAAGAGCGCGCTTCGAAGAGCAAATCTTGTAGCTCCACGCAAGCATTCTCGAAGTGTTCCAGATTAGTCAAGATTTGGACAATCTGTCCTGGATATTGACTGGCGAGCTTTTCTATGAGACTACCACAGACTTTCTCGCACAGTAGCTCATCCAGGCTCGTCCTCAGCGTCTCATCAATAATACTGCTCTTCTGGAAGTAGTCGTCGCTGAACAGGTAGATTTGATTCAAGAAATTCCGAATGTCGATGCAACATAGCGGGTACATCTGAGAGAACGGTAGAACACATGGGAATGTGAGTGGTTCGTTAGAAGCCGGAGGGTTATACCAGGATACTGAGACAACCTTATCATACTCTTCGCTCGAGTTGATCGGCATAGGCATGTAGTCGTCGGTGTGTACAATCTCGAGGAAGTCCTCGCTGAAGCGGTGTTTGAGGAGGGTGGAGTATTTGGAGAAGAGCGTTAAGAGAAGGTCGTTCATTGCGGATACGGAGTAGCCCCATTTCTGCGAATGTGGTTAGCGCATGTAATGCAGTGATGATGTTGGGACGTGACGAACCTCCATTGTCAGCATAAAAAGCGCAATACGGCCCTTGATCTTTAGGAGCAGCTCGTCGTTCTCGACGGTGTGGAGTTGGCTAGTGATGAGATTGATGGCGCTTTGACACATTGAGTCCCATAATTCGTCGACCTGTACCCGCGTTAGCGATGCTTTACGCAAATGAGCAAGTTTTTCGTACATCAGCTTGTGACCGCAGGTTGAGAGTCTTCGACATAGTAGCCTTCTCGATGATCGCATAACCAGCAATGCTCTCTAACAAGCTGCTCAAGTCGCCGCACTCCTCATCGAGCAAGTTGAGCTTGTTCGGTATAATGAGGTCTTTCTGAGTTCTTCGATCCGAGGCGTATTCTAATCTGAATTGATCGCTCTTGCCGAGCGTCTCGTTAATGTGCATCGCCTCGAACAACGGCGAGAAGTCTGTCTCGTTTCCAGCTTCCTCGTTATTTAGCACATCGAACTCGTCTGTCTCGTCGGCTACAAGTTCGATTGCTGAGTTCAGTTTGAACTTCGAGAAGCGTTGGTCGGCCTCGGCGCGCTCTTGGTTGCGCGTCCTCCGTACATCGGTGTAGTAAAATGAGACCTCGCCCAAGAATTGTGCCGACTCGCGAATGCGGTAGAGCCATGTACTCAGATCGTTCTTGACTGCTTCTCTGATCTGTTCTTGGGTTTGCGGTATAGATTTTTCGATCAAATTGGCGATCTTAAAGCGGTTGATCTCCTTCAAATGGATCGTCTGCAGCTCGTCTAGCGCTCGTAATGCTGCATAGTAGTTCTTTTCCCTCAGCATATCTTGGACCGCATTGGCGATTCGCAGTACGTTTAAACACGCGTTCAGGGCTTGAGATGCTTCATCGATGTTTTGACGCACGCCTCGCGAATCAACGAGAGCTTTCTTCTGCTCCGCCAGCTTCTCAATGCTCTCTTGGATCGACTCGTTGAGCTGCAGGATCTCGCCACTCATCTGCACAGTCTGGTCTCGTATTCTAAGTAGTGAGTCGACTGAACTGACGAAATCTTGGTGATTCGCATTGCATATCCGCTCAATCTCGCTTTCGCGATCGTTGGCATAGCGGTCAAATGTGATTTGTAGCTGGTTTGAGTAGCGTGGGTCCTTCATGATGGGGATCAGCTGGTCGATGTAATCTGATCCCACGGATGATTGGGAGATCTATTTCCGTCAGAACGTATAGCACATACACATGTATTTTGGGGTCATCTACTTGTTTGATGGCCATCCACAAGTCATCATCAGGGTCCACGGCTGAAGGCATGATGGCGGTTGCCTGGTACGAGATGTCGCGTCCGATCGCAAAACACGTCAAGTATCGAACGAAGATCAGGTCACAATGGTCGTAGCTATGTCTAGTTCTGTTCTGATGTTGTGGTTGATGTTGCTCGTCGTCGTCGCATATGAAACGCGTACCTGGCAAGTCGGTGGAAATAGCGCTAATGCGGAAGCAACTTAGCTGACTTGGCGCGGCTCATGGGACCCACTTTCCCTTGTGAGGTTCAAATGTTTGAGATTGAAGCGCCATGATCAAACAGCTACAGTGAATTGGGAAAACCATGATTGCATGTGTTTCCGGTGTGACATGGGTGCCTTTAGCTTGAACTTCTACGTACCGAACAGAAGCAATGAGGTTTGAGGTCGGACGTATTGATCGTTGTCGAGTGTACACAGCAGGATATTCCACTGAAGTGCATACACAACCGCCGATGTCATATCCAGCAATCACAGCAGAGAGAGTTGGTTTTTCACATATCTCAACGCGCGAAACATCTAGAATTTGGTTAAGTTCGGAACGTTCATGGCTTTGCAGAAGCCAATGATCTGCGCGACGCGCCGCGCGCGCCCCACTTTCTGGAGCGATGACGGAGTAACCCCGCCGATTTCTCTCTACTCCGATCCGGAGTCAACGCCAAAGATATAATCTTCCCCAAACTTTTTCGCATCTTGGCAATTACTCTCAAATCACACAACATGGAGGCCATCACAAGTAAGTCAAGAGCATGATTGAGGCGAACTTCGACTAATTGATGGCATAGACAAAGTTCAGAACCTTATGGGCAACGTCAGCGGGGCTGCTGCTGGAGCATACAGCGGAAAGTAGGTGCTCGCTGAATATTTATTCTGGTAGAATTTGGCTAATTGGGGGGTAGGACCGCTCTGTTGCTTGGTGCTGGTTTCGTGTAAGTCGTTCATCAACCAACTTCAGTATCCATAGAACTGACAACCACAGCACACGACCCACTGTTGACGTCCTCGCAAAGTCCGGTGTCAAGGTCACAGTAGCATGCCGTACTCTCCAGAAGGCTCAAGACCTGGCCAAGGGTATCCCCAACACCAACGCCATCAGCGTACGACCACATCGCTCGTATCTGCATTGCTTAATGCTAACGAATCCCAGCTCGATGTCAACGATGCCGACGCTCTCGACGCTGAAGTCGCCAAGGTCGACGTCGTAATCTCCCTCATCCCCTACACATTCCACGCGACCGTCATCAAGTCGGCAATCCGCAAGAAGAAGAACGTCGTCACAACCTCCTACGTCTCCCCAGCGATGATGGAGCTCGACGCACAAGCCAAGGAGGCTGGTATCACCGTCATGAACGAGATTGGTGTAGACCCCGGTGTCGACCATCTCTCTGCCGTCCTTACCATCGACGAGGTCCACAAGGCCGGTGGCAAGATCCTGTCATTCAAGTCATACTGCGGTGGTCTCCCCGCACCAGAGTGCTCAGACAACCCGCTCGGTTACAAGTTCTCCTGGAGCTCGCGCGGTGTGCTTCTCGCACTCCGTAACCAGGCTGCTTTCTACCAAGATGGCAAGGTCAAGTCTGTTGAGGGCCCCGAGCTCATGGCTGAGGCGAAGCCATACTTCATCTACCCCGGCTACGCTTTTGTCGCGTACCCCAACCGTGACTCCACCCCCTACAAGGAGCGCTACAACATTCCCGAGTGCCAGACCATCATCCGCGGCACACTGAGATACCAAGGTTTCCCAGAGTACATCAAGTGCCTCGTCGACATTGGTTTCCTGTCCGAGGACCCCAAGGACTTCCTCAAGGAGGGCGAGAAGCGCACATGGCGCGATGCCACCGCCAAGATCATTGGCGCATCCGGCGACAAGGACGAGGACCTTATCTGGGCCATCTCCTCAAAGACAAAGTTCGCTAGCACAGAAGAGAAGGACCGCATCATCACCGGTCTCCGCTGGATTGGTCTCATCTCCGACGAGCAGATTGAGGCCCGTGGTAACCCTCTCGACACCCTCTGCGCTACTCTCGAGAAGAAGATGCAGTACGAGAACGACGAGCGTGACATGGTCATGCTCCAGCACAGGTTCGAGATTGAGAACAAGGACGGCAGCAAGTCTGTCCGTACCTGCACACTAGCCGACTACGGTGACCCGAAGGGTTACTCCGCCATGGCTAAGCTTGTCGGTGTACCCTGTGCTGTTGCCGTCCAGCAGGTGCTTGACGGCACCCTGAGCGAGAAGGGTATCCTGGCTCCCATGAGCCCAGAGATCTGCGCCCCATTGATGAAGACACTTGAGGAGCAGTATGGTGTTGTGTTCAAGGAGAAGACTGTTCCTTTGTAAGGAAGTCGCCTATGATGCACAATGGAAGGCAGATAAGCGGTGATCATGATATGGTATAGACAAAAGCCAATGAGCTTTGAGATGACTGAATGAAAACATCAATCGCTTCCATGACTAGATTCTCTTCTGAAAGTGGTATCTTTTCCTATTGTGATATCGCATTCGTCTCTACGCCACCTCTTTGTAATTCCTTCCTTAATCCAGACCAGCAGCCGGCGGCCTACCACCAACAGCCTTCTTCGGCGCCGCCGCACCTCCTCCTCCCATACCTCCCCCGAACATACTCCCCAACATGTCAAACATGGGGTTCCCCTGCCTCGGGATCTTGATTCCAAAGTACATTTCGCCAATCTGATCCAACGCCTCGTTCCAGTTCACCTCCTTGAGATCCCCCGCATAATGGCTCTTGAGCTGCCTCCACAAACTCGGATCGCCCCTCTCCACGCTCAACAGCAACAATCCGAGGAAGTTCAACAACGGTAATGAGGGGTATACACGGAAGTCGGAGGACTTTGTGCTGACGGGCTGGGTAGGCGGGTTCGGCGCTTTTTGCAGCGAGGAGGTGAAGAGGAGGTAGTGTTTGTTCGCAGCGCGTAGGTTGCCGGTTAGGAGGTACGGTAGGATGCCGCGGGCTGCGTAGAGGGGCGCGGTGTGCGGGGCGTCGGATGTGTACCACGAGTAGTGGAGGGAGGAGAGGGTTGAGGCGCTGTCTTGGGTGCCGAGGAGGAGGTGGCGTTCTGCTTCGTAGGGCTCGAGATCTGTTTGGTCGTTGCATCAGTATCCTCTGATAGTGTTATGGGGGTTAAGTTTGTGCATACCCTCTGCGTATAGTCCTCCAGCGACGTGGTGTATTTCTGGGTCACCAGCTGGGTAATCGCCAAATCGACTGCTCCACGCTACCATCTCACCCACGAACTTCTTCTTTGTAGGCTCATCCTTGGGGAAGGCACGTAGAAGGCCTAGTAGTCGTCCTTTGCTCTCTGCATCTACCTTCACTTCCCCTTTGTTGTACACATCGAGGAGGAATATGCAGAGGTCGCCGCCTGAGCCGCCTTGACCTGCTTGGAGGAGGGACAGCGCGCCAGAGTGGAGGATGGAGGTTGCAGACGCCCAGTCTGAGGCTTTTGTGTAGCGGGAAGCGATTACGCGGAGTTGTTGGTGGGCTTCGTAGAATTGGCCTTCTGCGATTCTGGGTGGGGTTAGTGATGTGCGCTATGTGCGATAAGAACGGGACCTGTCACTTTTCGCGTTGTCGCGCGAGCGTCTTCTCGATTTTGGAGGCCATGTTGGGTGGTCGAGTGGCTAAGGTGGGGAGTTGCTCTGGTGTTGTTGAAGCCCTGTGAGCTTCTGGATGGTGTTCGGGAGCGATGACGCAGCGCTACGGGCGGCTGCTGAACCCCACATCAGCCGCATGGTCGAGTCCAACTTCTTTCGCACAATATTTATTAGCATGTTCTGTTTACCACTGACTTCCCTTCAGGACGATATGCTTCTTTCTCACGACGCTGTTTGAGAATTGCCCTGACGAGTGGTCAGGCAAAAAGAGAAGCCCTTCTTCTTCGAGACACTTGAGTCGGACAGACAGTCGACCTTCACGAACACATCAAGAGCAAACGTCAAGAGCAAAAATTATGAGGTTTTGCGACGACCGGGACTCGAACCCGGAGCCCAAGCAGGCAACGTATAGAGCGTGGGAAGCTTGGATTTTACCCTTAAACCATCATCGCGGTGTCATGATTAGCTAACTTAGGACAAACAATATTTATATAGCTATCAAAAGTTCCAAAACAGGGAGCCGACAGCATGACCATGATGAGGAAGTAACATATCGAACGATTCAACAGCTTCAACAGCTCCTCTGCGTAGCCGGAACATGCTGATGGCGGGGCTGAGGTGGGACGAGACGACAGGAGCGGGGTGCTGGCGCTTACCTTGACAGGTCTCCAGGGGTGGTGGCTCCTCCGCATAACAGCGGTCTCGGATCGAATTAGAACGCTGCATACAATCTAAGACCTTTTCATGAAAGACAAACGATAGGGGCCAAAACAAGCCAGACTCCATGCGTAGGCGATGGCTTGCATGAGCGAGCAGACTGACAGTTCATCTCAGCTCATCAAAATCTCAGCCTGATGACTTGACAATTCCTCACTCTCCACAGCTTTGACCTTACAACTGTTTAGAGTTATTCATACCGATATCCTAAAAGATATATACATTGTTCGTCATCAAACACACCGCGATATGGTCAGCGAAACCAATGTGGCGACAGCCGCGTTGGCTATAGCGATCTCAGCCTTGGTCATCGCAGCCGGTCAACTTATCGCCCAACTGTTTTCAACTGCAGATGGATACCGGAGATGGCAGCCGTCTGTCATTGGAGATTGGTACAAACTGGTAGAATTGAAGTTCCGGTGGTGAGTGTGCTGATCATGTACCGGCCGCACCAAGATCGGGCTCAGATGTGCTGATTTAAGTAGGAGCTCATTTCGATATGAAGTCAAGGTCACGACACCTCATTTCTTAATCGAGCCAATTTTGCATCACAATAAGCGCGTGTCTTTTTTATTGGACCAGGAGAAGCCCCTTCCGAAGTTTCCTTGGTCTCTGTACAGGGTAAACTCACGCTACTTGGTCCCTTCTCACTACCGAGTAGCACTTCTGGGTACTTTGGAATCACGCCTGGGTACTTTCTGTCCTGACAAAGTATCCCAACGTGCTCTAGGTAGATTTCACAAAAGCTGGGACGACTAAACAGAAAGCTCATAAACACATAGACAGTGCAGGGGAAGACGTTCCTACGTGGGTAACTTTATTGGACGACATCCACCGCGGTCAATCTTCCACCAATACCCGCTTTATGACCGACGACATGCTTTCCGAGCAGTGGGAGAATTATCTAGCACCCATTTGTATCACGAGTATGTTTCCAAGGTTCGAAGTGTACGTGAGACATAAACTGATACGGATGGGACCTGTATAGGGAAAACCCGTTCTTGGGACTTCATGCCACCGGATATCGTGCGACCAGTCTCTAGCACTACAATTGGCTGTCTAATCACGATGGCATATCGGCTGGGTATGACATGGTCAGACTTCCGACTCGATGAAGGCAAGATGCGTGCAAGTGGCAGCGGTCGAAGCTTCTCCACATCGATAGTGCGCGGGATGGGGCTAGTCGTGGAATATAGCGGGAGTACGAATATCGACTCCCGGAACAGTGAAAGCCGTATGTTCAGTATCGCTGCTGACAAGGTACGTCATGTTCATCTATGAATACATCAATGTGTGAGCAGCCTTGTCGAACGGCAGGTCAATTCCTGAGCCACTAGCGCTGGAGCGCCCAATCCGACGTTAGACCGTTTACGATGTGTCATAAATCCTTACTTGATTGGAACTTTGGCTTACAAATATAAGATGACATGCGGGATCATACCTATCCATGGAAGCCAGTTATGGATGGGCGGCTATCGGGATTTACATTTGAGGAACACACAATCACCCTCGGATTTGGAACTCAAGCAACCATTTTCGTGTCTCAAAATAAATGGTGATGCAAAGGTAGCTTTAGAAGCAAGTTTATTGCACAAGGATCCTGCTCAAAGACTTCCCGGGTTTACGGACATCATAGGATTATGGTGCGACTGGATCCCCCTTCGGAACCTCCCAACAAATACAATCGACAACCCATTTCCGTTTCCATTAACGACAATGGGTGAAAGACCCGAGTCACGTAACGTTTGGAGGTCGGGGCTTGGAAAGCAGGTGTCATTGCTCTCAGATGCGCGTAAGCTAGTGCTGCAGTTCTACGACAACTGGGAGGTACAGAGTTCCAAGCATTTCGTGAGTAACTACCGGGTTCAAACGATATCAGATTCTCAGGTCGCTTTCTTCAAGAAGGCGTTTGACGACACAACAGCATATCTTGATAAGTGCTTCGAGGCCGTCAATGCAGACTACTACTTTCTTATATACAGAATACTCGTACGTGTGCACATCTCCATCAATGCGCGCAGTGTCGAACAAGCCGAGGAGAATATCAAGAACAATGTGGCACGGGGAACAGATTCGCTTCCGAACAATCTAGACCCAGTCTTCAAAGAACGCGCTTACATTTACGCTGACAATATACCCAAATTTGTGGAAGAGATGGAGAGGTATGACTTCAATGGTCCCGAGAAGAACATCTCGTTTGAAGACATATGGTGGATATTGATGATGCGCCTCCATGCGTGGACTATGAGCGTTAACTGGGTCGACGACAGAGGAGGCGTGAAGATCCCGAGCGAATACTACCATAGTACGGCTCGAGTGTACATCTTGTAGAGCAGGTTCTGCCTCCTCTGGATACCGATTGCGCGTGGTGAAGGGGTTGGATTTGAGGAGTCTTTGATAGAAGACCGTAGACAGTGTATAGCTCGCTCAAGGCTGCTAGGTATAAATGCACATCATCACGAGACTGCAAACATGGGAATAATTGTAGGGTGAGCGCATTGCTCAAAACATGCATTTGTCACAATGCCTAAAGGTATCCAAGAAGTGAATCGTAAATGGTCGTAGCACAGCCGTCGTGTCCGAAAGACCCAATCCACCGAAAATCGATGGTGTAGAAGAAGAAAGCCCAAGTCCCAGTCCCGATAGCCTCTAAACCCCAACCTATGCCCATATACACCTTTTGTAAACCGCGTAGCTAAGTTCCTGTAGCATGCGACCAGCCATCCCTAAGCAGATGGAGAAAGAAGAAGAAAGAGTAAAAAGAGGTGCCTAAGCAGAAGCAGTGAAGTCACGGGCGTGAGCACGCTTGGTGACGGAAGCGACAGAGGCGAGCCTGGGGCCAGGCGCATCCTGGATGGTCTCACCAGCCTTGTGCCAGTAGAGGTCCCACTGGAGGAGCTCGTCGCTGGAGTGGTACAGCTCGGTACCCTTCTTTCCAGCGGGCACCTTCTGGCTGTCGTCACCGCCGGTGACCTTGATGTTGAAGGCCTGAGGCCAGAACTGGCGGTTGCTGACAGGGCCGTTGTTGTGGATGGAAACAACCTCAGTCCTGAGGACGTAGTTGCCACTAGGGATCTCCTTGGGGATAGTGACGCTCTGGGTGTTGCCGTTGTCGTAGAAGATGGCGTCGGTGCCCCAGTAGCCGACCTCACCTTGAGGGTCGCCGCCGGAAGAGTAGCGGCCCTTGCGGTAGTCGATGAGCGCGCTCTGGTGGATCTTGAAGAACTCAAGCTCGGTCTTGTCGACGTTCTTGCAGTCGCCGTTGCAAGGAGCCATGTAGGTGGCTGTCCAGCCGTGGTGAGAGCAGTCCCAGCCCTCCTCGCCGGCGCCGCAGGTACCTTCGTGGTGCCAGGTGAACTTTACGGGCTCGCCAGCGGGGGCTTCGACGGTGTATGGGGAAGGAGAGGCATCCTTGTGGGCAATGATGTCGGGCCTAGAATTCAGTCAGTACATGGAAAGAAGACTTTACTGTGGTGGACATACTGGTTCAGCTCGCTGCCATAGATGGGCTGATATCCCCAGCCCTGGTTGGTCCACCAAGCAGGCGACTTGTTACCAGGATCCTGCTTGGAGGCCTGACGGAAACCTTCGTAAGTCTTTCCTCCAGCCTCGAACTTCTCGACGGAGGTGTGGCCGGCCACGGCGGAGATGAGGGCAGCTACAAGAGCGCCGGTCTGAACAATCTTGGACATAGACATGGTTGATATGTTGGTTGGTTATAAGATGACGTTTCTTTGTCAGAGTTTTTGGGTGGTTATATGTTTAAAGAAGGTGAAGAAAGTGAGTGACTCGTTGATAGCACCGGGCTATAGAAAGAATGACTGGTCAATGAATGACTGAAGAGAGTGTGACTTGCTTGTTGAGAGCGTGGAGGACATGTTGAGCAAGGGCGAGCAGTCCTTATGAACACTTGCAGCAAGACTAAGCCAAGATGCAGCCAACGTCCAGAACACCATTTCAGAGGCGCTTACTTTTCGCCCCGCCTTTCCCGGCGGCCGTGAGGGGTTTGCACGGTCGCTTCTGATGTCTTTGACGTGCGTCGTGCTGACCATAGAGCTGCGCCGGCGCTCAGCATGTGGAGAGTGTGCCTGACGCTAATGTAGGTACGAGAGGACTAGTCTCTTCGTTACGACGACTGGGTTCGCCTGGCGTGTTGGAGAACACATTCGCTACCGTGGGTTGTCATCTGAGCGCGTATGTCAGCTGTAAAGATGACGATGCGTACCCCTTCCCTTTGCATCGTGCTAATATTGTCACGTCGCTGTCGGTGTCTCAGCCTGCTGTGCTATGCTCATCCCCGAGTGGAGTTGGCATACGCACTCTCGTATACCGAAGCCCGGACACAGAAGCCTCAAAGAATTTCGGTGGATCTCGGAGAATACCGAGATCACCCAAATCAACCAAAACGACGAATCAAATCGCTGTGATGTCATGTGAATTTGCGTTTGAAATGACTTGGGCTGTTTTTCTCGTGGTCGGATCGCCGTTCGGCTGTGAGTCGTGGAAGCAGGGGTGGATACGGGGCTTCCGCTGCCGCACAGCGCCGCTGTTTCAGCCACCAGAGGGCTATCGATAAACAGCCTATCGACAAGGCCCATCGCCTCCCAACACATGCCGGGCGCATGCACAAACTGTGGTTCACTTCTGCGACGAAAACGTACGGGTGTTTCGAGAGAAAGTCGTGCTATGTTTCAAAGAATGCACCCTGACGAACTCCCACCGAACACACATTTGAGATTGTAGCCATAGTACGCTTTCTGGCCTTCCTGGTAATACGAGGTACACGCATGAGCACTGCCGAAAAGCCTTGGTATTTTTCCTCCTCCGTGGTCCAGATGCTGGCACTCCGCTCAGGGATCGACAGGTCGCCACGAGCAGGCTTGACCTTCCTCCTTGAGTTGTGCACCCGTGTGATCCGGACGATGCGGATGCATGCGAGCGTTTCCTGCAAAGTGTACGATGCCGTAGTAGCGCTCGGTACGGGATAGTTGCGGTGTCGGCAAAAGTTACTTACGTGTAGGACTTGTCAAAGCGAAATAGCAAAATGATCAGTGATGTCGCGAATGGCCAACCAGCGCTCCGTTATACCGACACCTCTTTACCATCATATCCGTACTGCAACAGCCTTGGTTGCCATCATTTTCTTCGGTTTGAATAAGCGAAAACATGCTGGCAAACGTAGAATTTCTTGATCTACACCTAGAAGATTCGGGTGTTTTCCCAGCATCATTTGGTGGCGCTCTCCATTGCAATTTGCTGCCTTGCTGTTGGCCAATAGTCGTACGATTGTTCCATGGACATCAAAAGCAAGTTCGTCGAGATGTTCCTTGTTCATCTAGAGACACCCCGCTCTCGACAGCCTGCATGGTGATTTCTTTTTATGAGCGATCCCATGGGCCTTTTGCGACAATGACTGCAGGATCGTCGTCCGGCACGGCTCTGCAGGCGAGAAATGCACCCAAGTATTGATTTTCTGCCCTGCTACCACGAAAATCCCATCGTGAGCGTCAATATTACGACCGCACTGGCTTTGATCGACGTTTCCTGCAGCTTTTCAAGGTGCACTCTGTGGTATGCGACGACGTCACTACCGCTTCGACTTGCAGTCCGCGGCAGGGTTTAGTAAAAAGCTCCTGGAAGTGCAAGAAATACCGAAGGTGAGAGGCCCGAGTTCGATGAACTTCCAGGAAGCACTTGTCAGCAGTCGGTACGTTCAAAGTGTCGTCATGCCGTTGCTGCAACGGCGATTGCTCCGACACCGTTGATTGCGTCGTGAGCAAATACACACGTACTAAGATTGTGGTCGAGTACATACAGTGAGAAGCTACACCACCTCAGCATCTTCTCAGCAAATCTGTGCTCATTTCTTCAGTGTTTCCTTTTCCAAATCTCCAATCATGAATCGTCTTACATCGACAGCGTCGTTGATGTCATGATCTGGGAAGTCGATATTTTGGAATAATGCTCCCAAGCATTGGCGCTCCTCTCTTACTGCTTTGGTATTCATGTTCAGTATCGGTCTCACACTCACATCGTACCGACCCAGGTCCCATACACATAGTTCGGGTGCGTCTTCTTTCTTAGCTATCGCGCAGACATGTTTTTTTTCTCGCGCGCAGGTGGTAACTCTACGCGACAAGATCTGCGAGGCGCAGACGCAGGCGCAGGTGAAGTCGCTCTACCAGTCGTCCTGGACCCTCCGTCGGGTAAAGGAATACGTCAGCTTTGACAACTGGCTACCCACAATGACAATGTTTTTGTTGCGGCCAGCGCGCTGGTGAGCAGGCGTATCGAGCATCGCCGAAACCTGTTGAACACCGAAACTACTACCATAATCCGGTATTGCTTCAAAATTGTCGCCTTTATCATCTTCACCATCCGAATCCCCACTGGCTTCGGCTTCATCTGTGATCATTTCGTGGCTTGGCTTCCCGCTGTCTTTCATTTCATCTGCGCCATCCTCGCTGTTCTGAGCCGTCTTTGTTATTGTCGCAAATGCTTGCATCGTCTGCCAGACCGCTCTACCCACTCGGAATGCTTTCTTTTCCTCCTCTCCCCGCTTTGGGCAGATATCGAGGTTCATGAGCATCAACGCAGGACCACAAGTGCAAAATCTTAGCCAATCCCAAATCACCAGCCCAGATCCTGCTGCCCCTCTGAATTGACACTCGCCTTTAGATAGTGTGCTGTATCGTTTGCCAAACTGCCTCGAAAATAGGCATGCCCGCTATCATGCGTTCGCTCGCTGACGCCGCTTCGGGTAGACAGACTACTATGCTGTCGGTGAGTCTAGGTCGTCCTGATTACCTTCGAAGATGGAACTACCTCTGAGAGATGTCGTTATGTTGTTCCAGACGGTCGTACAGGTGGATAGTATGGCGAATCAGTCAAAGTACACATCGTTCTCACCCGCTAGTAACCACTGGCGAAGTTGTCCGAGCAAAGTCAGTGACTCGCGTTGCGACGTTGCGGGAGCGCCACTGGTACCTCAAGCTTTGGATTGAACGAAGCAATAAATCGAGCCATTTTCCACACACTCAGCGATACTTATAGGGTATGCTCGTTGGTCCCCTGACTTCAAGGCCGCATCCCGTTGTGCTCTCGACTCAGTATCAGTTCCAAGGTATCCGCATTGTTTCGACGTCCACGCGAGCCAGCCAGCGATGTAGCCGATGTCTTTTTTTGTAGCAGCGATACGTTAAAGATGACGAGTTCCTTTTCAGCAAGTCATTTCTCGTTAGATGGTCCATGGCGATAAGAGAGAATCGACAAGTCGCTTGCGAGTTGGCTGTGGAAAGAATTCGAATCTGTTGTCTTTCTGCACTTCAGCGCAATATTTATGCTTTGAGAGGGAGGATCTGTGCCATACGGAGTCGAAAAGGGGGTGAGACGGGATGTAGTCAGGTATCAGGACTACTATAGCCGCGTGGGGTAATTACCAGGAATGGCGGAGCGATTCGGCCCGCTTTGAGCTACGATAGCGAAGTGATCGCTGGGGAGGTAGATAACAGGTGAACGGTGGAACGAATCAATCCAAGTTCTGCCAAAGCCCAGCTGCATGAACGGATCTTGATTTTCTTTGTAGTATCGTTGTCATAAGCGGCTTGTTGTTCAGCAACGGAGGCTTCGCCTTCGAGAGACTAGGTTTCCAATCGATCAAGGATGTAAGACGACCAAGTGCTCAGGCCTGATAATGCGTGAAGGTTGGGGTCAAGATCCACTGCGAAAGTCACCAGGGGCTATACGTACTCCACACTGTAAGCCACACATACTTGGAAGCTTGCTCTCTTTTTATCACTCTCAGGACGTCTTCCAAAGAACGCTGCCACGCACCTCTTCGGCCGATGGCTGGATCTGAAGCGGGTTGATCAAATTGGGGGATAACACAGGAGTGAGAGACGCTCGCCCCAGAGATTCATTGCTGATATGTCCGTAGCTGCAATCCAGACTGGAGCTAAAAGAACAGCATGCGATGACCGCCCAGTGTTACTACAGCAGGATCCCAATGTGGGCATCTAGATTGTCGCCGACGAGACAGCAGAACGACCCGCGACCTGGTCGTGGGAGGTTTATGTCAAAGAGCTTTGAAACATCGTTGAAGACGCCAAGGGCGGTTAGGCTCATAGGAAGTTGTCGACGCGACGCGACGCGACGCCTTCTCCGAGTGACAAGTGGGGCCATTCTTTGCTGACTCCGACTCCATCAATTCCACGCTCTTAGGCATCGCGCGGTCATCGCTCGCACTTTGGCTCACTTCATTCGACTTCCTCTCAATTCTCGCTTACTGTTCCAGCGCGCGACTGCAGTTCGAAGCGGGATAATATGCGCGCACATGTACATCCGTGGAGCGGTACAACTCCTTGGGCGCAGTGAGCGCAACTTTCCATCAATCAACTAGAGTATCGCACACATACGACATGCCATCGCCATCGTACTTCTATGCACCGGTTAATATACGCCCTCCAGAGCACAAGTCTAGACTCTTCGTCGTGACGTGGTGTTGTACATTCAACGATGACGTTCGATGACGATCTTATCAAATCCTAACCCCACCAGAACCCGCCCCTACAATTACCCTCTGCGATCGGCAGAAATGTTCAGAACAATCACCAGATCTTCAAACCTCATTTTCAGGAAGCCAATTACCTCTCCTCTTTCAATCAGATCTATTACACGTACCTTTACTCACACAACCTTCAAGATGAGCGACAACAAGGCTCCCGTTACCGCCTACCCGTCCACAGAGATCACACCTCAGAACCAAGAAGGTGGCCCAGGTCTCGATGCGAAGACCGAACAAAAGGCAGAATGGTCGCGTCTTGAGTTTTGGGACGAGAACCAGAAGCCGTACCTCAAGGAGTATGAGGGCCGAGGCTTGATGCAGGGCAAGGCCGCATTGATCACAGGCGGAGACTCAGGTATTGGACGAGCTGTAGCCATTCTATTCGCGAGAGAAGGCGCCGATGTTAGTATTGTGTATCTGCCCGAGGAAGAGGAGGACGCACAGTATGTCAAGAAGAAGGTCGAGGAGGCTGGTCGCAAGGCGAACCTCATGCAATTCAACTTGAGGGAGCGGAAGAACTGCGAACAGGCTGTTGAGCAACATATGAAGGTGTTCGGCAAGCTGAACGTCCTCGTCAACAACGGTAAGATCCCATTACTTTGTTCATGTTTGGAGAATGATACTAACAGTATAACAGCTGCGATGCAAGAAGCCTGCACAGACATAACAGAAATCGACCTCGACGTAACAGAGAAGACCTTCCAGACAAACGTCGTCTCCATGTTCGCCATGTCCAAATACGCACTCAAGCACATGAAGCGCGGCGACTGCATCGTAAACAGCACTTCCGTCGCGGCCTACATGTCTAACCCCATGCTCCTCGACTACGCATCCACCAAGGGAGCCATCGCGACTTTCACCCGTGGTCTTGCGCAGCAGCAAGCGCCGAACGGAATCCGCGTGAACGCTGTTGCGCCGGGTATCATCTGGACTCCGTTGCAGCCAGCTACTAAGAACAACCCAGCGGATGCTATGGATTCGCTTGGTGTTGGTGCTTGCCCGTTGAACAGGCCGGGCATGCCGGTTGAGATGGCTACATGCTATGTGCATCTAGCTTCACCGCTGGGGTCGTACTGCACTGGTGAGGTACTTCACGGATCTGGTGGTATTGAGATGCAGGGTTAAGGGAGACGTAATGATGTAGTGGTAATGACAACAAGATCATGAAACGAAGGATATGTCTTTTGGGGTAGTTTAGATGAATCTAGTTGCGACCGATGGTTGCGGGCTAGTATCGCCCTTATTCTCAAATGTTCTATATGCTCTAAAACGACCAAATATGCCTATGGGCATTGGCTTCGGATGTTTTGACTGTAGCGCTGTCTGAGTATTTGTCGTGCAGTCTCATGACACGCTCTCACAATGCTTTTCTGAACTCATCTCAGAAACAAAATTGGGGTTGGAAAAATCAGCTACAGCAGATCATGATAAAATGCGCTCTTTGTTTTGGTCTCAAAGACGGCGGCCATGTGGCATGCTCCACGGAGTCTTGAATGTTGAGAATAAGGTATTCAACGATGCAGAAGAGAAGTATGGGCTGAGGCAAACCCTACACTGCCGTCATTGACGGCTCCAGGAAATCAGAAGTCATGGCAGCTTTTAGTCTCTCTCTCAAGAGTCTCGACACATTCACATAGAGTGTAGTGTATGCATGTTCTGAGTCTTTGGAGCAAGCCTCTCGTCATATGTAGAGGATCCTGCCATTCTGCGGCAGACTCGGCCCTTTCATAAACTGCTTTTCGCTGTTTTTCCTTAGATTCTGAGGAGACCGAAACACGCCACACCGTTTTGTAAATACTGTTACGGATGGCCAGGAACAAGGTGGTCATAAGTGTGCTATTCTGACGCTCCGATAACACGACCTGAGGATGTGTATATTTCGAAGACGTTTATAGCTAGGGCAGCATTTCCACATGCATCTCTCGAAATATGATCTCTTGATAATCTTCTTAGAGGACTCGATACTTCCATGGGCGTATCTGTTGTTCGTTTTGATTGAGGAAAGGCAACAAACACATGGCGGAGTCGAAACCTGTTTTTAGAAAATGCCAGGAGAGACGACACTCATAAAACCAGTTTTGCGATATTTTTGTGACTGGAAAATAATGATGTGTAGATCTGGAAGAAGGCAACGGCCACAGGACGAAGCTTATATACATCCTTCCGGCAGCGCTTGCTCAAAGAGTTGCGTTTGTTATTGGCATCCGTCGTGGTCGCACTTAGTGGAACGTGAACATGATTTCTGGGCATCCCCAAAATATGGATGCAAACCCTGTTCTCATGTCAACCGAGCAGAACAAGACAGCATGATCTTGTACATGGTCACCTTGTTAACCCTAGACTGCACTAGAGGCTTTCACCAAGTGCAAAGTCATGACCCATATCTTCTTTTTATTTCCGAGAGAGAAGGGGAGACCATACAGAACGCTCTGAGCGATTTTGGTGTGTGAATGATGCTCAAGTAGGTATTATAAGGCCAGGAGCGGAGAGGGCGAAGGAAATTTATATCGTGCCTCAAGTAGCGACGCGCTGTATACCACTGCAACACTGGAGACGGTCATGGTAAGAGCCCCTAAATAGTTTTTTTCGGAACAACATGTTGTTTTGGATCTTGTGCTTGCGGCCGTAGAGTTGCGGAGGACATGTATGCTGGTGTTTCCAATTCTCTCCAAAAAAAAACCCGCAGATCATCAGTTGGTCCTAGGTATATTTCAGGAAAAGGCCAGAAGACCATGAGCTTGTGATTCAAGATTTTTGTATTGTGAAATAAACCGTCTGATATAGATGAGGACCTGAGCAAGAGAGGCATGGTTTTTATATCAGAAGCGAAGTGGACATTTTGCATATGTCGAAGTCGTCGATTCCAAAGGCCGGAATTCCATGTGCTCATCCTCATTATTTTGGGGGAAAACGGAACAAACATGCGCTAAACCACCCGGCATTTTGTTTTTATCGTTTTCTGATGAAAGGGTGTGTTGTAGATGAGCAAAGGCGACAATGAGGCGGGTTTTATATAGGGCTCAAGGCGGAGACTCAGTCGGTGGGCATGCGAAGGCTACTTTTCGTACCTCATGTAATGATGATAGTCCAATTTTGTAGCTCCGTGAGGCCCTCTCCCTTTCACACGTGCGTTATGGGTCGATAATTTGATACATGAGTCCAGGCGATCTTGATTTTGGTAGATATCTCAGCCAGCGAGGTCGTTCACTTCATACCTCCCGTCGCGTCTTTTTTTGGTGATAACAGCGGCAAGGAACCAGCGAACCATGCGTTGGTTTGTTTGCAAATTTTGGAGAAGTAAACAGAGAAGTCGAGTATAGCCAAGAAAGTAGATCCAGCTTGGGAAGATGCTTGTATACCCGCGACAGCCGGAACCAGCCGTGCCTAGTTTTGTCAAGGGGCGGTTTCGTTGGTATGTTCTCATGTGATGGAGTCATCTTGTTCCATACAGCGAGCCTTTTCGGCCACCCGAGAGACAGCATGTCGTGAGTCAGCTTGTCTTTTAGAAGAGCAAGGCCCACCAGCGAGACATTTTGTTACGTCATTGGATTTTGAGAAAAGCTGAAGACGGCAGATATTGAGATAGCATGTGTATCCTTCGGACAGTCCACTCAAGCCATAGGTTCCTCTGCATCCTCTTTCTCTGTAAAAATACAAGAGAAAGGCTCCATGATTCGTCGGGATCCGCGTTTTGTAGAGTACAAAGGTTGAAGATGGAGGATAGCAGATCAAGTGTACGCCTCGAGAAGGGTGTTTATATACACTTGACTCAGCTGATGGGGGCAGTAACAAGCCACACAGCCCATCAGAGGACCCCGTATGCGTTTTTGATGCCTCCTTGAAGTACCGCAGAACATATAGGAAGCGTCTCTAGCAATTTTGTACGGCTGGAGTCGAGGACGGTATGTTTCGGAGATAAGGAGAGGGTAGACAATATCGAGTGGCTTTGCATTTATTCTGTGAGAGAGGTCTCTTCTCCGCACATGAGAATTGGCAATGGTGATTTTTGGAAATTGCGCTCCCGTGGATCCAAGACTAGTAGGTCTTTGGAAGAAGAGAGAGGAAGAGCAATCTCTCATCAACAAACTGCTTGTCGTTTTTCTGGAAGAAGAGGCAGCGAACATGCCAACGCGATCCGGAAATTTTGGTGATAAACGAATGGAGTGGTTGTAATGAAGAAGAGAGAAACAGCGCAGGCAAGAGGTATTTATACCCGCGCATCCAGATCCGGTAACTTCGTGGCTCCGCTGCGTAGTCCCAGAACCATGTTAACATCATATCCAGTTTTGTTGACGGCCTCGCAAAACCTCAAACGCATACAGTCTTGCCCGTAGCGCTGTGAATATCGTGTTCCAGTAGACAGACTTCTGACTTCCGACAGCAAAAAACTCATATTGTTTGCTGAACTTCTCTTTGGCTCTCAGACAGCCTACGGCATACGCAACGGTGACTGCTCTTTTGGTCTCGCACAGCGAAGACAGCTCCATGCGTTCGTGTCTCGCTGTTTTGAGTAATAGAGATCGCCGCTCATGTAGTTTGGGATTTAGAGTGTTCGAGAACTGGCCAGCATATCGGCATCCTCGAATGTATTTTCCCAAGAAGAAGAGGCGCAGGAACAAACATTCTATCGTCTTCGTTCATTTTTGATGATTAATGGCTGAGATGTCGAGGTAGAAGACAAGGAGTAGGTCGCCGTGAGTTTCGAATTTATAGGCTGGAGGGCTGGCTTCTCGTCCATTTCATGTTTGGCCATGATTTTCGGTATCGCAGCAGAGACGAAGAAAACATCCTAAGGTCTGATTACCTTTTTTTTGTTGAAAAGAGAGGACAGAACACGAGAGCCGTAGATTGAGCTTTTGGAAGAATGCCGGGAACATGGGTAGAACGAACTGTGTTTTTGGAGAGGAAAGGCAGAGCGATCATGCTTTACGCGTACCGGGGTTTTGGTGAAGAATGTGTGAATATGGTATGTAAGAAGAGAAGGAGACGAAGATTGGAGCAGCTTTTATATCCGTAGCCGCACACCAAGTCACGAGACACACCAGATCAACCTTGGAACCAAACCCCATGGAGTGGAAAAATAATCATCTCATCCAAGCTGAACCGTGGTTCTACCAGACTAACCATGGCAGATACCACCAGATACCCCGAGCAGCTAACCAATCATGCCTTTTACCCCAAACCACCAAACAATGCATTTCCATCCAAAACTCCCGAACCCATACCTAAATAGCATGATACCAATCCTCCCCCCACTGCTCCTCTTCCGGTAGTACAACACGCGAATCCTAGCCACCCTTTTTCTCCGAAACCTCAATATGCTGCGTCCTCAACCCATCATCCCTACCACCCACATCCTCCATATCCACATCCGAGAACCTAACCTGACTCTGCAACTTCTGACTCTCCCCATCCAAATCCATCACATCATCCCCGCGACCCACAGTCTCGCTACTAGCATTACTCATATTGGTTGCGCCCCGAGCACCCGTCTCCACTATTTGCTGCTGCTCATCATCCTCAATTTCCGTATTCGGCGTTAGCGTCGCAGAACTCATGTTCGAATCGTTCCGTGGGCGACCACCAGTACTGCTAGAAAACTCCTTGGCACTAATCTCACTCCATCCGTTCTCATCCACTCCTTCATCGAAGGAAGGATTAGCATGGGACGTAGGATGCATAGTGTCGTCCCACCCCCCTTGTGCCACGTTTCCGTAGTCACCGCCATAATCTTCCCAGCCGGTACGACTCTCCTGCAACTCTCTCAGAAAGTTCAAATTATCCTTCTTAGCAAAGTCCTCGAGAGCCTTGGGTATTGGGAGGGGATCGGCAGTCGTAGCAGCGTCATTTGCATAGACAAGGAGCGCAGAGGCGGATTCCGTGGTTGCGCGTTCGATGACTTCGGATAGGGAGAGACGGTCGCGTCGGATGATGGGGTTGGCAGATTCACTATCGTATTGCATGCGCCACCATTGTGTTGCATTGGGAGTGTTGGAGTTTATATCGGGGTGTCGGATGTAGACTACGTCACGGCGGGTGGCTACACCCCAGAGTTCGTAGGGACGGTTCATGGCATCTTCAGGAGCTTGCCCGGCTGGGTATTCAACCTCGACAGGCTCAGAGAGCTTTTCGGCCACATTCTCAGTAGTTTCGGTAGTGGTGTCCATGGCATTCTCATCCCTTGTGGTCGCCGTAGTGTCAGTACTGTCGTCTACGCGTGGCTTGAAGCGTCCGGAGATGCCTGCGATGGCCTTCTGCGCTTGTTCAGTCTGCTCCTCGAGGGTTGCAAGCTTGCTTTCGATGCTACTGTATAGCTCTTGTAGTTTGGCCAACGTTGACGCATCCTCTGGAGAACTACCAGACTTTGCAGGCTCAAATGCAGTCATGCTCGTTTTGAGTAACTGTAGGGAGTCCAGCTTTTTCGCGCCTGCTTTGTTCGGGGTGTAATACTTCAGCTTCTCCACATGCGACTTGATAACGTTCAGTTGTTCCTCGTGCTGCCTGATATCGCTGTACATGCCATCGATGACATGCTTATTTTGTTGGAGATATCGATCGATATAGAGGGTAGCTGGAATGCGAATGCCTAGGTCAGATGCCTCTGTATTCGATGAGGATAGTCGTAGTATCAGGACGTTACTGGGTTCGCGGATGTGCGCACTACCCACAGCCACAGAGAACAGCGAGTCGTCCAAGACGTCGTACAAGCTAAAGTCAGGCCGAGATGGATCGCGTGTTACCACAGCATCGAGCACAAAGCTCTCTGGGGTGCTATCCGCGACGTCCACTGTAGACCGAAGAGTACCGTTCAACTCAGCATTAGGCATATGGCTCTCGAACGCGAAGCCCCATAACACAAGGAACTTGAGCAGATCATCGTCTGGGTCCTCGACAGTCGACGGTAATTCTCTCCAGGCCTCACTCTCAAGTAGTCCGTTCACCGATCCATAGATCCGCTCGGTTTTATCCAGGAAAGCCATCATCCGCTGCGCTTCGTGAAGTATTTCTAAATTGTACGACTCGGACAGCCCAACACTTGCATCAAAGATGCGCGAGGCCGACTTGGGATTGCCTTTCCACCATTCGTCGCCCTGCCAGTAATCGTCTTTTGTAATACCCGGACATAGCAGCGCATTTCGGAACAGCGGTATCGAATGGAGGATAGGAATGAGGTTGGGAAGGTAGTTGAAGTTGGACGATGGCTTGAGGATCGCGGGCTCTCCTTCTTCGCGCTTGCGTTGACTGGGGATGGGGTCGGCAATGATTTCGGTCGCGGTTGGTACCAAGGCCCACTGAGACGTATCGTAATTGTCTCTCATGGCTGGCCCAAAGATGGTGTTGGAACCGGTGACACCTGTTTCTTGACCCTCTATGCCTGAATATTTGTCAGCGCTCCACGTCTAGTGTTGCGGGCGCATTCCCTGTACTGACTTTGTATAGGCGCGTCGCCGGCTTGAGCTTGTGTGGAGGCGACACTCGTCCGTGAAGGCGGCCGTGTGGGAGCTCTGCTATTGATGTTGCTATGTGGGTAATTCTCGTGGCCTGGAGCATAGTCAATATTGAATGCTGAAACGAGCGGCTGTCAGTCGTGTTATCGTAGGAAGTCTTCAGGACTGAGGTCGACGTACTGGGAACGTTTGTGTCGTCGATACCATAGCCGGCCCCCGCAAAGGCAGTCTCGTCCCACTTGGCTTGCGAATTGCGCAGGTGGGTCTTTAGAGATTGTATGCCTCCTTGCTCCATGCTGGTGAAGTATTTGTCCATGGCGGCCTCGACACTTTGGCCATGATTCTGTTTGCTTGGTTAGGGCTTTGTCGCAAGGCGCAAACAGATTGCGAGCTGTTTGGGCCATACCGCGAGAAGCTGTCGGGCTTCATTTCTGTCCAGCTGATCCGCTCCAAAACTGAGTAGGAGGTCGATGTTGGCCTCTATGTCTGCGTCGGCCATGGTCGCTGTGGGTGTGGTGTAGCGAGGGGATAGTGATGTTGGCGCAGTTGTGATCTTTGAAGTGGAGCGGCGGCGGGCAAGCGGGCGCGAGTGAGTTGAGGAGCGAGGACGCGAGGCTGGAGTGAGCGAATGACGGTCGCCTAGTGACGTTTGGCAGGCGCGCACGGGTCGTTTGTAGAGCCGGAAGGTGCACTCATGTGTAGGACGGCATGGTGGGGAGCTTCTAGAAGAACGAGCTTCGCGGAGGTGATGCGGGCAGCGGAGCGATGATGTCGCTAAGACCGGCGGAGCAGGGGTCGTGCTTCGATAGCCGACCGTTGTCCTGCGTCATGTTCAATATGTATCTGCAAGAAAGGCATCCAATACTGTAAGGGTTCAAAGCAGTTGATATAAATGTATTCAAATCGTCTATGGTATCATGGAAAGTTATTATACCCTCCCTCCATATCCTGACCTCCTAACCAATGGGCGCATGTACTCCCTCTCAACTAGGAAGAGGAATCGCACCACATGTCCTAACCGTATGCATTTCCTCGCCATATTGTTGCATTATATGAAGAAAGAGAAGAAGAACGACAACGCCGAGTGACCTCTGGTGTGAGAGGGTCTATATGCAAAACAAGCTCTATATGTACATGGTAGCCTCGAGGCGATCGACATGCGCAACATGTAGAAGGGCATGGGAGGGGACTTGCGTCGTAGCATCGCGTCGCGTCGTTTACAGAGGGAAAGGAAATGCTCTTCGTTGATCGCCAAAAGACATCTCCAGCTCCTTTTCCAGAGGCGTGATATCGTAGTCGACTTCCGTCGTGGGCGTCGACGCACCTGGTGAATAAAACTGTGGTGTATAAACACCGAGCTGTACTTTCTTCTCGTCTGTCGACTGTGGCGTATAAACACCGAGCTGTACGTTTTTCTCGTCTGTCGGTGTGCTTTCTATCGTAACCTTCTCAAGGATCTTGCCGAGACTACCAGCCGTGTCTGGTCTTTCAAAGTCTTCTTCATCGACATCCATAGTTGTCGGTATGCCGTGTGCAATGTTGTGATTTCGTTGGAGATACTGTTGGAGGCGGTATTCTTGCCTCGCCCAGCTCTCGTCGACAAGGCCCAAGGCGGCTTTGATGTCTTGGTCGGAGAGACCCGACGGGTTGTTCAACTCCTTCTTAGAGTTGCTGACTACGCGGTTCGTGAGTCTGCTTCGGACAGAGGACGACTTTGATTGCGTGGGTATTGCTGCATCGTCTCGCATGGACTTGACCTGCTCTTCAGTCTGTTTCAGTGCCATCTGACGTGCCTCCTCCATGCTGGGAAGAAAGAGGAGAGTGGTATTTCGATGAAGTGCATTGACTAGATCAGTAAAGCCAGTCAAGGCAATACCGTTGTCCTCACAGTAAAGGTACTGCAAAGTAGTGTTGACCTTAAGGACGTCCGCTAAGGTGCTTGCTCCCTGTACGCCCAACTTTTGATCTGGTATGGTTAGACGGTTGCCTAGCAAGTATGAAATGTATATAGACTTACATCTGATGTACAGAGCTCGCAAAGTTCGGTTGTGTTGCAAACCCCGTAACGCTCGATTAATACCAACGCCTAGCTTGGTCGTCTCGAGTCGGGAGTCCTCCCCAGAGATGTCAAGCCACTCAAGACTTGTGTTGTCAGCAAACATCTTTTCCATAGCATGACAAGTTTCTTCCGATGCTTCGCATGGTAATGATGCTCGCGAGATATCGAGCTGTCTGATGGTGTTATTCGCGGCCAACGCAAGAATCATCTTGCGAAAGTCGGCGTCCTCTTCGAACTCTAGAAGACGGAGTGTAAAGTTAGATGGCGCGAGACCATTAGAGATAGCTTTGGTCAACTTGTCCAAATCTTCCTCAATATTGTTCTCGCTGACGTCCAGATGTAACTCGCGAGCTTTTCCAGGATGTTCTGTCATCGAGTGCAACAGGTACGCTATGTCTCTTCCTGTAAGGAAGCAGTGGTCCAACCTGACTTCCCGAAGAGCTGACGATTGCTTGTAATTAACAAGATAACTATGCAGTTGTTAGTAAAACACGCAAGAAACCGAAGTATATAGTGGCTTACCCAGCGATTGCGTCAACCATGGCGGGGTTGAGTGAAGTACCACTCAGAATCAGCTCTTGTAGTCTCCAGCCAGCAAACGTTTCGACTGAGATCAAAGACTCGAGACCCGACGAGCGCGCAACATGCGACAGATTGAGTCGCGTGAGATATCCAAAAACACCAATCTGGGAGTCGAAGATGCTGGGCGACAGCCTGAAAGGGTTAGACGACAGATCCAAGGCCTCAAGCGTAGTCTCCTGCGCGCGAATGGCATCCAGTACAAGAGAAAGCGAGCGATCCGTTAGTCCACACCCACTCAATTCCAGGCCGCGGAAGTGGCACGCTCGTTCGACACCCGCTGCGACGAGATAGTCCAAATCTGTATCTCCAAGTTGTATCCTGTTCAAAGCTATCCAATCGACATTGGTAGTTTGGTACTTGCACAATGGGAACAAAGCTTCCACAATGCCGCAGCCCTGGTCTCTTGCACTGCCTCTAGCTTCCCCGTGATCTTTCGGTTTTCTGGAAATGCAGGCTGTAAAATCCATCCTCCGTAGCTTGCGATTCGTCAGAGCCAAAGCGCGGATTTCTTGCACAAGTAGGCAGGACCGTTCAAGCTCTTCGACATCTAGCCGTGCATACGTCCCGCGTTTTGTTTTCAAGCAAACATGCTCCGCGCCATTCGGATCTTTCAGCCCATTCAGAACGTCCAACTTTACGTCTTTGAATGAGATGCCTCCGAAAGTCTCATTGTAGCGCAACGCACGCATAACGGCGAGTAATTCGAGGGTGTTGTACTCTTTCCTGCGCAGGCCGGCAGGTGGTAGCAGCTCAAATCGGGGAGCGTCTTCGTGTGGATAGGTGATTTGATAGCTGATGTTCTCTGGCTGTACGTCGTAAGCAACACAATACCCAATCAAGGTCCGATCCAGAGAATCTTGATCCATCGGGTGTGGGCTTTCCTGCCGTCCAATGTCATGATGCACATCTTCTGGAACAAGAAAGTCGAAAGGCCGTGTCTCCCACTCTGGTCTTAGATTAGCTTCTATGGATCGTAGACGGACAGCGATGTCCCGCGAAGCTAACGACGCTAAATGGAGGACCTTGGGGCGTTCGAGAGGTTTACTGCGTGCCGTCAGCGGGGTCCTTGCAGTACAAGAACAAACACTTACCGGAAGGTTAATTGGAAGGTATCGTCGATTTCGTTTACGCACACTTCGGTCAGGGTTAGGATACCATGCGAAGACTGAGTGTTATGAGAGACCAATGAAGGGCTTGAAGACCGTTGTGATGATGGTTTGAACAACGGAATAATGTGCACTTTGTGCACACCAATAGCAAGGAAACATACTGAAGCAGATACTTTGGCTAAATCGTCTGTCGAAGACCTCGTCGTCGTCTTCCCTTGTGGTCGGAGAACAACCTTGTATATGGCGTAGTGAGGAGGTACATAATCGCGTTCTGCTTCAACAACGCGCGCAGCCAGGTGGGAGTTGTGTGCAGAGATGGGTTTCGCGTCAGACAATCGTGCCCTGTTAGCCGCTTCTCGTATAGTCTTGAGCCAAGAAAACATCTCTTCTGGATCACCGAATTGCAGGGTCATGGATGAGGCGTTGTTCGACTCATCATCCAAATAATATAGTTCCAGCGCAAAGTGTGGTCGGCCGTCGTCTAGATGGTATACCGCGACGATGTGGCGAAGGGGTATGCCATGGTGACGGTCTCCGGACGACTCTGAAGCCATAGACTGAAGTTCGTGCGCAGATCCAAAAGATGGACTGTGGCTGTGACGGTAGTAGCTCATGCGGTTGTTCGGTGACGGTATGCTGTGCTCATTAGCCTTGTCTCTGAAGCTTGCCGACGCTGAGGCGCACCCAGGAAAAGCTTCAATCGCCTTGGAGTGGTTCTTGAACCTGATGAGATGCTTCTCGGTCAGCACCAGGTATTCCCTCTTCTTCCTGAACATGGAACTGCTCGTCTGGACCTCGCCATGCTGCAGCACCTGCCGATCCTGCACGTCCTCCCAGATGTATTCCCCAAAGCCAGTCGATGTTCGCGTCGAGGTCGCAGAGAGAGGTTCCGGGTCGTCGTCGGCGGACAGTTTGTAGCCGCGGAAGGAGCTGAAGACGGAGCTGGCGCGCTTCAGGCTGGCTTTGGAGAGCGCCGGTCGCTGGGGGTCTGGCGGTTCCATGAGGGTGCTGCTCCCCGCTACCGTGCTGCCGTTGTAAGGCGCTGATTCAGGGTGTTGCGACACATCGGAGAGATTCGACATGAAGGACGCGGTGCGCCGCTTGCGCAGCAGGTTGGAGGGTTGCGATTCATCCTTGTTACTGCGCGACGCGAAAGCATTGAGGGAGCTGCTGCCAAAGATGCTTCTCCGCTTGTCTTTGGACATTCCGAGATTCTCGATTGGCGCGCGAAGCCCAGCACGAGCTCGGCGGCACAGCTATCGCATGCAGAGGGGCTCTGGGGAGAGGGAGGCAAGTGTCGCGTCGGAGGATATTCTCGGAAGATATTAACAAGACCTGGGGGGTGGAAATTGGAGCGGGAGAGCAGAGTTGGGCGCAGAATGGCGGTGGAACCAATCAGGGCGTGGGCGCAACGGGAGACAATGCGGAGGACAACGGCGGAACGATTAGACGGTAGCAGTAGCAGTGGCAGTGGCAGTAGCAGTAGCAGGGCCCTGGGTGCAGCAGATCGCGGGCTCGGCCTGTTGCAGGAGGGGGGGTCGGCAGGCGTGCTGTAATCACGACATGTTATTATTCCGTGGCATGGATGAGGGTTTCCAAGCTTCGCCGCCAACAGTGCTGTCGAGCGTTGTGTGAGTCTGTGAGAGGGCGCGGGATGCTTCACCGGGCCGACTATCACAGCGCGTTTGCAAGGAAATGACAGGACGAGATATACGGGTAGGATGCACGAGTGTATGGGTGGATTACAGGGTGGGTCTCTGGTTACTGGTAGCTTTCCGCGCGTCCACTGGCCCTGGCCGCTTGCGCGCGTACGTCACATGGCTGATCCCAATGATCGCCCGGCGTTAACAAACGCCGACACATTTTCTGAGGGCAGTCGCGACCGAGCGTCACTGCCATTGCATATCAAACGCCACCTGCTCGTCTTCCCCACCACGCTCCCTCCAATGCTGCGACGCCAGCTGTCGCCAGCCTCGCTATGGCATAGGACTCCCGTTTGCCTGTTCTGCGCTGCCCGCAGCCAGACTCGACTGCCACAACGCCAATCCATCCGGCACAAATCTGAACGCGCAGTCCCGATCAGGAAGCATGCTGTCAAAGACAAGAAGAAATCGGGAGTGAAACTGGGGGAGGAGGATGAGGACGAGAGTGAAGGACCACGATCTATCAAACGTGTGATGCTTGGTGACAAGAAAAAGAGGGACAAGGGAAAAAATGAAGAACGAGAGGCGATTGCTATCAGCACCTTGTACCCTTCCGACCTCAAATTTGAGGCTGTCGAAGTCGACAAACCACCCGTCCCCATGTTGTCATATGGCCTCGATCGTGTTCTGTTCAACCCTGGTGTATATCGTCTGCAGGACCCACGAACCCAAGTGTATAATTTCGATCCATACCTCGAGAAAATCATGCCGGCGAATGAGTTCGACTTCGATGCCTTGAGCGAATACAAGACTTCGTCCAAGGACGAAGATTTACTGGCTTTGACAAGGCGGATTGGCACAAAGTTCACTGGCTCTACATCGAGTATGTCGAGTATGCTCCAGCACTTTCATTACATCTTATCCAACTTCCGAAAACTCAATCATGGCATGCTCTCACGCCAGTTTCCCGAACCTTCTTCCAAGTTTTCCAGGATCACGCTTGGTCCCAGTGCCGTCTTCCTCCGGTACAAGGATGGTACTTATGCGATAGACGCCGACAAATCCTACGATAGCCCCAATATCATGAGCTGGTTGGGTCACTCATTGGAAAAGCTCCTCACAACTGAGCGCAGCGAATTTGAGAAATTCCGAAGGTCAAGTCCGGAGAAGGCGCCTGCAGAAGAGAACGCTAGTCGTTGCTACCATTACTCAAAACAAGGTAACATTATGATGCGCTCGCAGTTAGACGCCGTTGACCCACGACTACCCGGAACTGGAGTGTTTGACCTGAAGACGCGAGCTGTTGTTTCGATTCGGATGAACCACAAGCATTACGAAGAGGGTTCTGGCTACCAGCTTCGTCACAGTCTAGGCGAGTGGGAGTCGTTCGAGCGTGAATTCTACGACATGACGCGTGCAACCATGTTGAAATACTCTCTACAAGTCCGCATGGGGCGCATGGACGGCATCTTCATCGCCTACCACAACATCGAGCGTATCTTCGGCTTCCAATATCTAAGTCTTTCAGATATGGACGCTGTCTTACACGGCCAACATGACACAATTCTTGGAGACCAGGAGTTCAAACTTTCCTTGAACCTCGTTGATGAGCTTCTTGTCAAAGCCACCGAACAGTTTCCCAATACAGTAAGTTGCCACCCGGGTAATACAACCTCGTTACTGATCACAATAGTCTATCCGATTACACTTCGAGGCTCGCGAAGGCAAGACACCCTTTATGTATATCTTCGCCGAACCCGTCACCGAAGAGCAAGCAGACGAGATTCAGAGTGCTGGAGAGGCCGCTCAGAAAGAGTTTACACAAAACGTCGTTGGTGTAGGGAAAGGTGATGCCGAGACTCAAGCAGCTTGGCAAGAAGCGCAAGACGACGTCGATGAACAAGTCGATGCTGAAAAGACTTCTGAAGAGGTTGAAGCGCAAGAAGACGAGCATTCAACTACAGTCGAAGACGTTGAACAAGACATTGTTGAAGAGACTGCTGAAGCTGCTGAAGAAGCTACTGAAGACTCAGATGATGTCGCCGAAGATATGTTGGAGAACCCAGCAGCCCCTCAGGGCCCCTTGATGGGTTGGACATTGACTGCCCGCAGTCTGGTCAATGGAGGCTATGTCGACCGACCAGAGCAAATCACTGAATTCGATGACTGGAAGATAGAATATCATGTCAAAGAGATACCTGAAGAGAAACGATGGAAGCTGTACAAGTCGCTCCAAGCGCGAAGGCATTCACTCATTGGACAAGACGAAGAGGCCGTTGACAGGGGCCTTAAGCATTACCGCGATTTAATACAGCGCTACAGCAACCGCGGACGCGCGTGGAGGGAGGAGCAGGACAGGATCAACGCCACAAAGGGCGTACAGCTCTTCCGACCACTTGGCCCTGGCTCAGATGCTGTCGCGTCGCAACATGATATCGTGCAGGGGAACGAACTTTCTGACAATCCCGACGTTGTCGACAATCAGACGCGAGAGGAGGAGCCTTATAGTGAGGAATCGACACCGGAGGAATCACTCTCGAAGGAGAAAAAGGAAGAGGTGTTGGACGGCATGCCCTCTGTACCGTCATAGGCATCACACTTGTAAAAAGGCCATGGCGTTTGATCTTTCTTTGGGGCTGCTCGCATAGAGCATGATTACATGATTGAACGTTCCAAGTAATATATGTAAGAATATGTGTACAATTTAGAAGGAATGAGTAGCATAGATACCAAAATATTGGAAACGAAGATTCATCGGCACAACGTCTTTTTCTGTCCAGACTTCCTCAGCATGTCTGGGTGATAAAGGAGGTCCATGAAATGAAAGGACAAAAGAGTATTGTAGTGTAGTGAGGATAATGTACCCGATCTTCATCTGAGATGAAGCATGCACCCCACATGGCACCCCCACTAAACAAGCTCATGTCCGAGCTCCGACCGAAAATGTACGTTGACATCACCTCATCTACATCTCATCGCGTGTCCAACGTTCAAACATCTTTATCGACCAACTGCGATTCCGATACGGCGTTTCTTTAATTAGACACGCGACACCAATGATAGCTCAATCATGGTGAGACAACATGGCAGCTTGGAAAAGGACGCAGAGACCAACGAGGCGGCTTGGGAAGCTGCAAGGGGTGCGTTGATTGGGGGTACGAAGGTATGCATACATCTTTTTCCACATCCTTCTTATGATACTGCCTGTTTGTCTACTTTTTGGATGTACCGGAATTTATCGGCAAATGTGGCAGCATGACGAGAAAGAGAAGGAAGATTGTGTGCGTCCGATTACTATGTGCACCCGCGGATATCATTGGCCAAGATGTGCGCCTGGCTACAGATGAAGGTTGCACTATCGATTGTAGATGGATCAAGAGAATGCAAGACTTCTAGTTTACTAGTACGATGGCTGACTTAGGGTTACAGTGGGGCGCTTTCTTCGCCGTGGCAGGTGGTGTCGCATACGCCTTCTCCCCCGTATACAAGGGACTTACCGTTCAATTCAAGACGTATGTGCTTTCCAGGATTTGCCTACTACTTTTTCCTCACATAGAATAGTTACATCCAAATGTCCGGAATGATACTGGGTGGTATGCTCGAAGCAGATAAGCGCATGGTCGCCTACCAGCACCGCGTCCGACATCACAAGAGAGTAGCCAGAGACATGGAAATATGGAGACGATACGAAGACTCTTATGAGGAACGGGGGACGCCTGGCGTGGGGGGTGAGAGTGAAGTTCATGGAACTCAAGACAAGAATAACTAAGACTTTGCACGACCGTTTTGTATATGGTATGAATCACAGTCTCAGGCTTTTATGCCAAGTGTTTGTGGAGTAGAAACAACAAAACGGATTGTCTTCGCTTTCACCTTGTATAAAAATGGCTTTATCCATTTCACTACTTCACTTGCGTTCTTTATCTCACATACCTCACCACGCACAGCCCCTGTACTCGTCCCACCGCTTGCATCCATATTCACAGACACAATGAGAACACCCTCCCCCGATAAAAGAGAGCGCGAGTCCTCTTCCTCTATCGAGATGACACCCTCACCCGGCTCTACCACCACCGAATCTACGACCAGCCAACCTTCGCATACCGGGTCTACAACCGACGGTTCTATAATCTACTCCTCCCCAACTAGCAAAGTTTCCTCCACGGGGTCCACAGTTGTCGAATCTACACCTTCTGAATCCACAGACAACGAAGCCTCAGACAGCCAGTATTCCGAATCCGAATCCGAATCCACAATGACTGAAGGAGGCCTTACAGATGCACAATGGTGGGAACTTCGCGAGGGTTGGATCTTGCATCGCTACAAAGAGAAGACGGCGTTTACGTGCCATCAGTGTGACAAGAAGAAAACGGATATTCTTGTGGCGATGAAGCCGGAGAAGAATTGGGATAACATGTGTTGCAATGCGTGTTTTTGCATGAAAATTGGGCAGGACTCCGATGAATGGAACTTAATTCATGTAGATGGAGTCGATCATATTTGGTAGAGGGTGAGTCGATGATTACTGCTGAGGACCTAAATATCATGATGTTCGTGTAGCTTCAGAATGTTCCAGTGTGTGCAAGTGAGTAACGAAGCTCCGGTAGTCAATGACGTGATTCGGCGCGATGCAGTTTAGCGGCAGCCCCCACCCGCGCCGCGGGCTTTTAAGCCACCTTGCGAATTCGCTTGCTCCTCTTTCTCCAGGCAGCACTCGCTGGTCCTCATTCACGACACCTTCACGCGTACAATTGCTATAGCTTCACGTAACGATGGATGTCTTCTGGACACTCCCGCCGGTCTCTAGGTAAGCGAGTCTCTTCCTCATCGAGCTCTGCAACACTCGAAGCTTGGAGCTTGCAGCTTGTCTCAAGCTCTCAAGCTACTGCGCAAACACCTGCGAACAATTGCTAACCCTTCCCCCAGGACCATCACAGCTGCAGCAGTCGTTGTATCAGCTGCTGGCTATGGCGGCATCATTAGCCTCTACCATTACATCTTCGCGAGCCACTATGTCTTTACGACGAAGGTGTTCCCTCAGCTCTGGCGAATCTTCACGGCGTTTCTGATCACGAAACCGAAGTTCGGCATCCTGCTTGATCCATACTTTCTATACCAATACGGCAGCTCCATCGAGCGGGAGTCGTCTCGCTTCTCGCAGCCTGGCGACTTCTTCGTATACACCATGTTTCTCGCGAGCGTCATTGCCGTAAGTACTTATCTGCAAACACTCCGCGGCCACGCGTATATAGAAACACCCCATATCGCATCGACACAACTGTCTGCGACGACTTCGGTCACCAAATCACCTCCGATTATCTGCCCGCCCAGCCTACTATTTCTAGCTGAAGCGGTTCCTGGAACGGAGGAAGAATACCCTTGCACATCATGCGGTTCCGTCATTCGCAATCAATCAAAGGGACTTGTGTGGTGTGTAGGCATGGTGGGATTGTCACTTGAGAAAGCTTTGCGAATGCTCTCCATTTCGCAAGGCGGTGTTGGCTCCCTACATACTTTTGCGACTTCTCGCGCCTTTGTTACCTTGTTCGCCTTGTCGCTTTGATACAAACGTGCTGTGGAATGGACTTGTGCTAACAGTCCCCGTAAAGGCAACAGCAGGTGGCATTCTGAACCAGTACACTTTCCTCCCCGCGCTGTCCCTCGCATACGCCTACACGTTCGCCCAAGATAATCCCACGCGTTCCGTATCCTTCTTCATCATCACCTTCGAAAGTAAATACCTCCCCTTCGCCATGCTCTTCATGACCTTCATCATCGACGGCCCTGATGCAGCTGCCGGCCAACTCACCGGTCTCATCGCCGCTCACTTGTACGATTTCCTGACACGCATCTGGCCCACGTTTGGTGGTGGAACAAACTATATCCGCACGCCACAGATGGTCAAGGGCTGGTTCAGTGCGAGGCCGGGCAGTGTGCAGGACAGGGGATTCGGTCATGTTGTCGAGGGAAGGGGCAGGACGGCTGGTGCGGCTGGAAGTGGTGCACCGCCTAGTGCAGCGAGGGCTACGGGGAATGCTTGGGGTGGCATGGGTCCGGGGAGGAGACTGGGAGAGTAGATGTGCTGACTGAAAATGTCACGCGTTCTTGACTCTTCAGAGCCTTGGTACTATTGCGGGTTTGGTGGCATATCCGCACCTTGGCCTTTGCCTGAGGGTAGGCTTGAATAAACAATACGTACTTGTTTGTCCTGACGCACGTGCAAGTAAATGGAGTAATTGTGTACATTCAGGGTCTGAAGTCGTACTGCGTCCTTGAGGAGTGACGCACCTCGGTGTCAGAGAAATGATGGGTTTTATAAGTTCGAGCATACCCAGTCCCAGTCTTGTGTATCTACCATTGTTCTATTCTGGCCATGGTGGTTAGTCTTTCTGCAGTAAGTTTGCAATGTAGACTAGCTCAGGCATCTGCCAGGACATAGAGATTATTTGACTTTCCCATGACAGCGCCGCCAATCCAGTCGACACATATCCTATTTAATCATACTAAAATAAAAGTACGGCTGATATTGTACGGCAGAAGTGTGCAATATATGCTAGAGCATAGGTTCGTGTATAGGATAATGGGCATGGGCTACGATTATGCCAAAGCAACCATATATGCGATTCTCCAGGCTTACATACATTTCACTATTACCTCGCACACCCATCCGATACACCACAAATAAACATATCATCGACATACCCCTCATTTGATAGCCGCATAACCCTCTGCTTTATCTCAATACCCCTCTCCTTTTTAAAGCAACCCATCATTGTATCGTTCACCTTTGAACAACTTGCTTTACCACCATAAAAACACCACTCGAAGGCAAAATGTGCGTGAACCATACCATCGACTGGTACTGCGGTTCCGGGAACTGCGGCATATGGTTCAAGGCAACTACAGAGCTGTATCCGTGTAAGCGCCCTGGCCGGTTGAGTTGTCCCCGGTACACGGGCGGGAAACTGCGCGATCCACCGAGGAACAGACATTCGGCTACAATGCCGCCGGGGTGGGCAGATAGTCATTGTGCTACCTGAGGGTTGTAAGCGTGGAGGAGTGGATTCTAGACGTGTAGGCGTGGTTGAATGGGTTGCTTGAAGTCTGAGATACTCAGGTATATATCATATGGCAATGGATAGCTTAATGGTTAGCAGTACCAGTGATTCCAGGACTGAGAATAATAACATATGCAAACATATGTCAATAACAGTTGTGATAATTATGCTTCTTATATTGAGTGCCTCTTGGCTATAATACAGGTTCCTACTTCTTTACTAAAGTAGAAATTTACTTTGAGCTTCCAGCAGGGTTGCTTGGTCCATCGACAGCCCTCTCGACGTGTCCAGCGATACCATTCTTGCTCGCATCGAACTGGCTTCCAATGACGCCGTCCTTGCTGAATGGTCCTCCGACCTTCTCGCCAATCTGGCCAATTGCGCCATCGGGATTGACTGTATGAATTGATTAGCATCTGTACATTGAGGAAGACATGTGGCTGAAGATGTCAAGACATACACTGCTTTCCGATGGCACCCGCTGAGCTAATCACACTAGGGTTCTGGCTAGGGATAGCATTGGTGTCCTTGTTTGCGCCGAGCTTGTCAGCCATTCCGGTGGTGTTGTCGGTCATGTTGTTTGGTGTGGATTGGTTGGCAGTGCCGAGGCCGAGTTGTTCTTGGAGGGGACCGGTAGACTTGGGCATTTAGTTGTTGTTTGGAATGTGTTTGAATGTGTTTACTTGGGGTGACAGGATAGGTATCTTATATGCGGAGATGAGGTGGTGGTGGTGCTGATGGGGTTATGCGCAAATGGTACGTCACGATTGTGGTGATGTCATGATGAGGGTGCACACACATGCAGAACTTGGGACACGCATACGGATTCAGACAAGTCGATGATGTATCTAGTGAATAGCTTCCGTGGATCTCGATTCTACGTGGGGTCGGGATCTGGTTTAGGCGGTCTTGATTTGTTGGATGGGTGGCCATGGCGTGATACAGCTGTCATGCTGTGAGATGGTCTCCACGCGTGATCTACAAAAGGTACCCGCACGGCTGAAATGGACATGTTGGACTACTGCGAATGAAAAAGTGACTTCATAGGTGTAAATGCTGGTATCATTGCTGGTGCCTTGTGGTCTTTAGGCCGTAATTACATGCACGTCACGGCTAAGCGCGTCTCTTCGCTCGGGCTCCGCCTACCCTGGGAAATGACAATGGCAACTTGAGCTTGGCGATGAAGTGGTTGGCGCTTTCGGCCTTGGTAAGCTTCATGCGTGTAAGGTCGGTCTGTGTTGGTGCGGTGAGCTTGCATCCGAGCTCGGCGAAGTATTGCTTGATCCTGCGCAGCGTTAGCATAGGTGACATAGGCAAGTTCTTATGTGATGACCTACTCCTTGTTCTCGAGCTTGAGGTCGTCTCGGAGGTCGTTCACATCGACTTCGAAATCGTCAACAATGAGTGCTGCCGCCGCAATGTGTGTCATGAGGTTATCGATGTTCCAACGCGGCATCTCACCGTTACTGAAGAGGTCAGAAATATTCAATGACAGAAAGCGGTTGCAACTCACCCTGCCTCGGGAGCAAACTTCCTCCTGATAGCCATGATTTGACCAGCAGGCGTATCCTCGCCCATCGCTGTCTCCAACTTTCCTTTCATAGGTATCTTCTTCGGACGTGGTCCACCCCCTCCAAACAATGCAGAGTTAAAGTTGATACAAAGCAGTATGAAGCGAAGGACCTTCAACTTCTGTATCTGCTTGTTCTTTGCGAGTTTGACGATACGTTTCGCAACGTATTTGCTGGTGACGTTGACACCCTGACCAGCTGATGAGGCCTGCACCCAGTCCTTGACATCCAGAATAGTCATCAGCTCGCTTCCAACCACGACGTCTGTGGGGTAAACATCGGTGGGGTATTCGGCTGTGAGATTGGGTATCGGGCGAGGTTTGGAGCTGTCTACAGCTGCTGCGAGATCGTCCTTGTTTGGCATAACGGCCGTCGCAGAAGACATCTGCTGCAGAACGTTCTCGGCGATCGCATCGGTTCTCGCGGCATCTTCGGCGCCAGTTCCGCTCTTGATGGCGTTGAGTGTCCGGTCTTCAAGCGCCTTCCTCGACTTCTTGGATCCGAATTCTGCTGCGAGGGCAGCTCTCTTTGCTGTGACGGTGTTCACGGCCGCATCCAACCTCTCCTGCTCTTCGCGCATTTCTTGTGCCTCGCTTCGCAGTGTGGTTCGTACAACGACTCTCTTGACAGGAACAACCTGCAGCTTGCTTGTCGCAGGGTCGAATACGCCAATGTAGTCTTGTAGTTGGCTCTCGGCGCTACCATCTTGCTCTTCTGAGGCGGTGTAGTCTAGACGGGGATGATCGGAGGACTGGAACAGTAGTTCGCTGCTTTCGCCTTGTGGTAGGGTCTTGGTGCGCTTGTATGGCTTGAAGGATAGCTTCGATGGCATAGAGAGACCGGGTGTGACAGCTTGATTGTGTTAGAAACGACTCATAGAAGCGCTCGATACCCTCTTGTCTATTCCGATGGCTTCGAAAGCTATGCGACAGTCTCCGGAGTAGCTATCATACCTAGAAGTGGACCCAGAGTCTCTTTGTTCTCTACCATCTGAACGCGCACATTTCCTTGCGGCGCGCCGGATGTCTTCTTCTTGGGCCGCTCGCCATTCTGCTCCTGCCTCTTTCTCTTCTTTTCACTCATGTCGTCGTTGCGGTTGCGATATGGCAGCATTGGTCGCGAAATGTCAAAAAAGTTCAAAAGTCCAATCGCGAATTGGCAGAACTTTCGGGCGGTGAACTAGCAGGCATAGCCGAGCGACAGGGATGTGGCACGGGCTAGTACGTTAGTGCAGGCGCGATGACGTCCACGCGACAGACGCGTTCCAGACTGCCGCACTCCCGCATAACCAAGTGCGATCACGGCACACACGGGTCTTTCTGGTTTCCGTCTGTTGTACCTAGTCAATGCAGCTGCCCCAAAGCAGTAAACAATTCAATCCCTATCTCCATCCTTCATCTTCCACTCACATCATCTCCATCATCCATCGTTCCATTGACCACTGAACTTGCTTCCAATCCCACCTATCCCCACAACCTCCACCATGCCTACCGTTCTCCAGACAGCGGGCGACATGGTCGACAATATAGGCAACAAGATTCACTACACCACGAGAAGAGTGGGTGATCAGATCGAGACCACCACCAACCAGGTGCTGCCGCCCAAGCAGCGCGAGCACATGCTCGAGAGGGCCCGAGAATACGCTCGCCAGAACCCGAAAGCAGCAGTATGCTATTATGCGTCCTCTGAGAGATACTTCTAACACCCATATGCAGGCCTTTCTAACTACCCAGACCGCATTGACTGGTCTCCCACTCGTCCTCTTCCTCGCCTTCGCAGCAACCACCCTCCTCGTTTCCCTTTCAACCTGCCTCTTCCTTGGCATCCTTGTCTCAATCGCCATTACCTTCTTCCTAGTCGGCTTCGCCCTCCTCTTTGTTGTCCCCACCGTCATCATCGCCAGCTGTTCGGCTACCATCATCTTCATCTGGGGCTTCGTGGGCTACATCATCCTACGCAGGTTCAATGAGGGTGAGGAGCCAGCTAAGCTTGGCACGCGCGTTGGTGACAAGTTGCACAAGTTGACAGGCGGTAGATCGGGATATTTCCAAGGCGATCAAACATCTGAGGAGAGCAGTCGCGACCGAGACGTGGTGGGTGGTGGAAAATCTACAAAGGGCCATGATGGTGGTGCTGGGCACGCATATGGTGGTGTATCGTCGAGTGCGCGCGACGGCGGGCCTGTAAATGGCGTAAATGGCACGCAGGGTACTGTTGAGTGGGAGAGGAAATGGGATGGTGTCAAGTCTGAGCCTGTTGTCTTGGATACGGAGAACGTCTTTGAGGCTCTGAAAGCGGTAAGTACACATACAGATTGCGCGCAATACACAGCTAACGATAAGTAACAGGAGACTCCAGTCGCCTAGAAGCGTGCCTGGAACAAAAGGTCCTGAAGTATTACTATTCCTATAGCACCTCTCTCTGCTATTGCACTCCTCTATCATGAATGATTTCAGCTTACTACGAAATTGGAATTGAACGTCATGCGTGCATGCTGCCGTATTTTGGTGTTTCCTCACAGTATGTTCTCCACAGTCTAAATCACGTGCTTCTTTGCTCTCCTCTAAACACCTATATAAAGCTTCTCTTGTAGCTGCTTCTCTATCCCTCTATCGACCTCAGTACCTTTCTATTCCCCAAAATACCCCCTTCAACAAACCATGTTCTGCGGCGGAGCTTTCCAAAAATCTACACCATGGTTTACAGGGACCTTTTGTTCAAAACCACTCGACGACATATAACCTGCACACCATTTTGTTCCTTGCCATAGCCTTCCAAAAGTCTGCGATCCAAATGCTTCAAGGAAAAAGCGATGTGCGGCATCGAAAATGTCGAACACGCCTATTGTGATCGGTTCGAAGAAGTGACGTGAATTGTCATGATCAAAAGCATGAGGCAAATCTTCCAGTTGCGCAGAATCGGAGCACAAACATCTCCAGCATGTTGCGGTCGGCGAGCTTGGCCTAGACTCTGTACACAGTCTCCACAAATTCGAAAAGGACGTCAAAACTCATCATAGTGTTGCCGGTCCAGAAGAGCATTATGGTATATTTGATTTCTGAGATGAAGTCGATATTCGGCATACGAGTGCCCTAAATACTTCAACACAACGATCATGTGTGGCGGGCGCATTTTGATCTACAATGCTATTTACACGAAATACCATGGAACAAGAATATCGGTTTTGTTTAGGAACTCAGAGTCATCCACCATTACCACTATATAAGCCCTTCCTTCCACCGTCATCGTCTTCTATCCTCATCATTACCTCTTTTCCCAAAAATGCAAGTCATGCCATACATGTTCTGTGCCTGCTGTCGGCTAAAATACAGTGTCAACCTTCCGATGTCCTGCAGCAATTTCACAATCCAATTTTGTACCTGGGGATGGAAGGCCCGGAGTACTCAAATTCGGGAAAGATCATCTGGATGCTTTTGTCTACTCTTGACAACTAAACCGTCAAAATCTACTCTCATAAGAGTATATTTCCAAATCGGCCTACCAGAATGCGATGGCAGTGCGAGCGTCTAGATCAAACTAGAGAAGGGGGGACGTTCCCGCTTTGAGACTCCGAAATTGATCTAGCTCGTAGCCATGTCCCTGTCGTTGTGTTGTTTCGCCCCATGCACAAGAAAAGAGATGGCGAGCACGACCATGGGCAGCTGTCCCTTCCAAATTTATTCCCTGAATTTCCAGAACAATCTCCCGAATGCCGAGAAAGTACAAAACATGGGAGACACCAAAACAGATCGCCAGAAATGGCATGTCGCCTGGTATACAAGACCCGCAGCTACTTTACGATGCCTGTTAGAGAGCTCTCTTCTCGGTGACCAAACGGTCGAGACAAGCGACTATGCTGCTGTTTGCACCGCTAGAGTCGCTATATAAGTCCCCTTTCTTGCAGCTGAGAGTCTACCATCTTTTACACCATTCGAGACTATACAACTAAAAATGATGTCGAGGAAAAACCATGTTTGCTGCTCTCGGCACCAGAGTGTCGTCTCATAGGACTGTGGGTAGACGCTTTTGTGCGGACTCCAGAAAAAACAAACTGCATTCGTGATCACACCATGATGTCGCTCTTCTGCACCGGCCCACGAAAATATAAAGTCCCTTCTATTACCTTTTTGTCTCCATCCAAACAACATACTATCTTGTAGGACATTATAAAAAATACGAGGAAAAAGTCGATGGTTTCTGGAAACACACCAAAAAAGGCCGGACGGCCCTGTTTCTGCGAGTACCTAGGTAGACTTTGGCAGTGTGCAAAACACGCGCTTCTACTGTCCATGTCTCCTACTCATAAGAATCTCTTTTTCGATCCCTGGGCTATCACCCGAACATAGTGGCATCAGTAACGGATTTTGCCTTCTTTGTGTTCACAAAGATATGTGGTAACAGCCAGATAGAGGGGGTTGTTGGATGACGTCAGTGAACTAAGAGCCGGGTAGCCGATACAACAGTCGCTTTACCGGAAGACGGAGTCTTCAACAACTATGAGAAGCAAAATATATCATTTCTCAGTCGCTGGAGGGTACATGCTAGAGCCGTCCGCTTTTCTGGACATAGCGCCTGAAGAAACCTAGGCTAAGTACTTGGCTGCTGCCTAAATCAGCAACCATGGCAGCGCCATCACAACATTCACGCATCAAGCTTCCACACACATCTAGATTCTGGGATAGCTTTTTCAAAATCAGTACTCAACATGTCTGTGGTTTCATCACGAGACCTGGCTCACACCAGAAGGCGTCTGCAAAAAGAACTGCAAAACCTCACGAACGATCCTATAGAAGGCCTTTCCGCCGCACCCACTGATCCATCGAATCTATTCTCATGGAAAGCAACAATCAGAGGACCTCCTGACACTCCATACGAATCCGGTACTTTCCACCTTACCATGGACTTCCCAGAGGTCTACCCACGCGCCCCGCCAATAGTCAAGTTCGTGACCAAGGTCTATCATCCAAACATCGATAGCGAAAACGGATGGATTTGTCTGAACATATTGACCATGGAATGGAGCCCTGTATTGAACACTTCGACGGTCTTGTTGAGCATACGAGCGTTTCTGGATAGCCCGGATACGGATGATCCAGCTGAATGGGAGATTGCAAACGAGTATATGTACAGGAGGGAGGTTTTCGATCAAACTGCTAGGAATTGGACGGAGGAATTCGCGAATCCTAGAAGGATAGTTGAGGACACGACCGAGGAAACGGCACCGAGTCAAGGGGTGGCTGAGAATACGATTGAGGACTGGGAGCTTGTATGAGGTGGTCACTGGATTGGGATACAATCAGGCTCACGTATAAAGCAAATCTTGACATTTCATTGTTGTATGAGGCCCATTCGTATCTAGACCAAGTTGCTTATATCGCAAGACGGGAAGGCATCGCACGATCGAATTTCACTGAAGGTCTCGAAAAGGAGCATTCGAGGAAGTCATAGCTCAGACCGTACATGTCGCTTCCATCAAGCGACAGTGCCATCCACATCTGCCACATCAGTCACGATGGATCTAGTGAATAATGTTGAAGCCTTATCCCTTCAGGCGTTAGGGTAGAATGGATACATAGCCCGAATGGTAGCCGCGTCGCCAGCAGAGATATCGAAGTGCGGATAATGCCTACCACCTTTGAGAGGCAAAAAGTGAGCTTCATCCCCCGCCACATTGAACGCATACATCGGAAACAATAAAGGATTCGTGAGATCTGGTCCCCATATTGCAGAATTAGCTCCATGCCGACAATCGTAGTGCATGATAGAGTGGAAATCATATGGTGAAACGATATCCGTGGCTGAAGGTGCAAACCTGACGAACTCTGCGCCAGCCCATCCGTACATCTGGGCGACCCCTAGCTGAGTGCACAGCTGATCCTCAGTGTAGCCATCAGCTCAAGCCTTTGCTAGTGCGCCATCGAATCCGATAACATTCCTACAGTTGTAATTGATGTAGAAATCTCGGTCGGCGCGCTGATGTTCATGCAAAAGGCCAAAGACATGACCTAGTTCATGTGCAGCAACATGTTCGGGATTTCGGATCATCGCGTCATGCGAAAAGACCATCCAGTGTCGACCCGGTGTGTTATCGGTCGCTTTGTAACCAACTGTAGGTCGTGCCTGAACACCTGGTAGGTAGTGGTAGTTGAAAGATATACAGACAGTTTGCGGAGGTATCTGATGGTTCCATTGGCCGTTCGCGTCATAGCAGTAAGGGTAGCTATCTCCGCTTGCTGACAACCAGCGGCTGAAATATAAGTTGTGGCCGTTTTGAAGCGAAGCTACACCGAGTGTGCGGGTCCAGGTTTCCCATGCGCGATCGATGATATGTGCGCCAATAGCTTGCTCGGAGGCAAAATCTTTGAAGCACCATGGGATTAGAACCTGGTAGTTTGGGAGACGAGGCCACCGCATTTGTGAATTGATGAGAAATCTGTAGGAGTGAGTAGGCGCAAGTGCATGATTTGTTCATGTAAACAGTGACTCACCCGGCATGGCCACCTGTGTCAAGCTCCTCTGTAGCGTTGATGACCCCTCGGCGTGCCAAAGTGTTGTTACTGAGAGGGTATGCTACAGGAGACGTATAGACGAGCTCAACAAGAGTAAAAAGAAGAAAGAAAAGCTGCATGCTTGAAAGTTGTGTCACGTTCTAGCCCACGGTGGCTGAGGTTGATGCAGTTGTGTACTCTCTGGTGTATGGAGAAGGGCAGGAACTACGTTCACAAGCCAGATGCTAGGACTAAGTAACGGAGATGAGCGAGGTCATTGCGTCAGCACGTTGATCTAAGTGAAGGTAATAGACAGTGTGGAGTGAGGAGATCGCGAGCCACAGTATGTCCGTGAAATGAGTCCACTGACGTGGCGATAATCGACGTAGTCGCAGAATTGCTGTCTCTAACACTCAATACGTGATTAGAGTCCTGCTACTGCGGGAAAACAGCGGGCAGCACCCACGAAACACGATTTAACTATTGTTTATTAAGTGAGAGCGACTCGGGTACGCGACACTGATGCACAGTGTGGCGATCCGATACGTGTCGAGAACTGTAGTTTACAAGATTCTTTCGGCATTAAAATCGTCGCCGTCGCGATATGTCGTGTAAGAGCAGGAGTACAGAGGTTGGCCTCCGTGTCAGCTTCGCGTGGACATGACATGCTAAGAGGACGAAAGGGTACTAGCGTCATGCGCTGCTGGCTCTAGCGGTCAGATTAAGGAGGAGTCCTGGAGTGGCAAGCGCTAAAGCTTCTGAGCCTCCGTAACGTACCCTTTTTTGTGCCTCCATATAAACTTCAACAGCTACAATTAGAGTGCGACATCGCTCTCAGGTCTTTCACTCAGGGCGCTGCGATACCCTCAGAGTGCACCAGCCTTTTCCCACCGTGCGGCCTTACAATCCAGTTGTTATCCGACACTGAGAACGATGATCTGCGCTCAGCCACACCTAAGTGCAAATGATAGAGTGCATGCATGCTACTCGCGGCAGGCTGGGATTGATTGTGCATGGCGCTAACCTTGCAAGTCGTCTGCATGCGATCACTCAAGGCTGTGTTGCGCGTGAGGGGCGCAGCTGAAGCAGGCGGGCGTTCTCACCATGACACTTAGGCATGCATTTGAACTGCCACTCAGTTTTTGTGCACGAACCAATTTCCTCAAATTTAACTCGTGATAGTGTCCTGGATTCTGTTCAGACTTCACAAACACTTTCACATTAACACTTACCTTTGCAGGGTCGCCTCCCGCAGCACCGGACGAATTAAGAGCCCCACCTTCTGCCTTGGTGAAGCCTAGACACAGCACAGCTAGATCACAGTCTCGATGAGATTGCTGAACGCCAGTACATACGAGTTTCACGTCGTTCTTGGTCCGAGAAAACCGAAGTACGCAATACTATCGCATACGTGGGAAAACGATGAGGTGCTGTACGAGGATATGCGGGATACACCAAAGTCTGACTGGAGTGCAAAGAAAGGTTACTTCAAGATCAAGAAAGCATGTGCGCAAGCCTTGCAAGACGGATGCGATTTTGTATGGATTGATACTTGCAATATCAACAAAGACAGTAGTGCCGAGCTCTCAGAGGCCATCAACTCTATGTTCAGATGGTACAGAGACGCCACTATCTGCTACGCCTACATCTCTGACAGCGTAACTGGAGACGACGAGTCTTTTTCCCAATGTCGATGGCTCACTCGAGGCTGGACACTCCAGGAGATGATTGCCCCTGATCGTGTGCATTTTTATGACATGAACTGGAGTTTTCTAGGCAGCCGCATTTCTCTTGCGACACACCTTCTTTCACCAGCTACTGGAATCCACACAGCTGTACTGTTACGGAGACATCGGCCTCGTATACCCCAATTACATCCGCCCTCGGATCTAATGCCAAGTGGACTTTTGGTGGTGAAAAAAACAGCAAAAGAGGATGAGATTCCACTCTTCAGGACGACAGAATATGATTGTCAATGTTGTCCAAGCACTGGAGAGGCAGATGTGGAATCAATGCTTGAGAAGTTCAGCGTAGCGCAAAAGATGAAGTGGGCTTCGAAACGAACTACCACACGTGAGGAAGATATAGCTTACTGCCTCATGGGGCTGTTCGACGTGAACATGCCTTTGTTGTATGGCGAAGGTAGTAAAGCTTTCTATCGACTACAGCAGGCTATCCTTGCAATATCGTCAGATCAATCGATCTTGGCTTTTCGATCGAATCTGGAATCATCAGTCTTTCTTGGCGATTCACCGTTACTTGCACCAAATCCAAGGTCATTCCTCGACGAGGTCCACAACATGCATATGCCAGCTCGTGGCACGCATGCAATTCTGACTGGAACCACATTATCTATCGAGATGCTTATAAGTCCAGTACAAGGGGTCGAAAATCGAGATAAGTATCTTGGCATCTTGGATTGCTCGTTAGATGGAGACCCTTCTATGAGGCCTGCTATATTATTATCACCCGTACATAAAGGAAAACTGATTTTTCGTCGAAGTCCTGGAGATGTCAAACTGTTTCGACTGCGACCAAGTCATCCCGGCGAAGCGGTTCCAATGGAAGCTCGTACACTGGAACCCGAACCGCGTACGCTTGACCTGAGTGACAAAACTCTCCAGTTAGTTGACTGATCAATGTAGTGTTTGGTTCGAAAATTAGCATACGCTACGACGCCCATGACATCGAACGCTCTCGCATTACAATCATTGGTGAGAAGCCGGATAATCACAACCAACGCCCTGTGGCAGTGCCTATACGAGTCAACATATCTTCAGTCTGCCTCGATCACTGCTCTATATTGTCACCGTCGCATATGGTTAACGGACAATTGCCAGATACTGTAGCCCCGGGATGGGTAGAGTTTTCTACTGGATTTGGTGAAAACTTCTCTGTCAATTGGATTCGACACTGGTCTTCTCTACATGCTGGCATTCAAGTGTCTTTGCTACCGGATGGCGAGGAAATGATACGGAGCGGAGCCGCGGCAGTCAGTGAGCTTATGTCTTACATGCCTATGGTCGACCTTGAGCTCGAGTCATTAGACGATTGCATGACTACTCCTCTTAGAGAGTTGCATAGGTCGAAACCTATTACACTTAGACATAGAGATCAAACCCGTCTCCAGGTTTGGATCTCAATATCTAGAGAGACCTTTATTGGCAGGAGTCGCTATGAATTGGGGATTCATGGGGAGATTGTGGATGACCCTGACATGCCGAAGAACGCCAGTCACAAGCTGATTGCGCTAGGATCGCAATTTGATGATCTTGACTTGCTGGATTACCTTGGGGCGATTGATGGCTGACAGTGAACTCTATATCTTCAACGATCGCAATACGAATTCAACCAATCTTCTCACCGAGCCAAAACCTCGATCCCATCTTACTGAGCCTCCACTTCACCCTCTTGCACACTGGTCACCACACCCTTAAGCATCCTCTCCCAGATCCTCCTCACAACCCTAAACCCCTCAGCCCACTCATCGTAATCTTCCACCGTACCAAAATTCAACCACTTCCCATCTCTCGCTCCAACATACTCCATCAACTCCGCATCCGGCTCTTCGCCCTGATCCTCGATTCCCACCTCCTCCGTCCCCTTGCTTCGAGAACATTCTGTATCCGCCTCCTCAAGTGCCTTCTTGGCCGCATCATCCAATGTCCTCGCCTCATCAATACTACCCGCGTCATAAACCCAGTGCACTAATCCCCAGCGCACCAGATCCTCTGTGTCGCAAGGAGTGAAGAGTAGTTGTACAACGTTCTCAGCCTCCAGTCTCATCGATTTGTCTCGACCAGGCGCTATGTCGTAGTAACCCACAGCCAGAGTTGCTATCAGTCAATCAGTCAGTTGTCAGTTCATCTTTGCGGTTCAAACTGTCAGTCTGGAGGTAGCGAACTGACCTGATTGACTGCCAAGACATTTTTTAGAATCGCGAACTGAGACTGAACTGACTGCCAAGACCGCTATCTTGGTATTGCACTGACTGATTGATTGCCATCTGATTGCTATAGTTCAAAGT